GGGAGTAGGCCAGCCATGCAGGTGTACAAAAACATTAAACAGCTCTTTTTCAACATGTGAGGTTCAAAAATTTTTAGTGCTTAAAAATACATTCCAAAGGAGTAAGAGAATTTGACATTGAGTTTCCCATCAACACAAGAGGAAAAAATATAAGCATCCCTTTTAATCTCTACTTGGTTTCTATATTCTCTCGAGGCATCCCCAGAGGTGACCTGCTCCAGAGCAGGTGGTATCTGGAGAGTGACCAGCAAATAGGTCTGGTCAGACTAGCCACTTTTGCTGACTCGCACTTCTACCTTCACCAGAAATCCATACACCTAACTCTAGCAGGTGTTTCTAAAAGCACAACCTGCAGTTGATTCCAGCTGTAACAGTCATATTTAAAGAAGGAAGCATTGCTAACAAAACCAATAATCAAGAAATCCAAACCTCTGCTTTCCAATGCTTTGAAAGAGAGTGATGGCAAATTGAGAGTAATTGGAGCACCTCCCAGCCTGCGAAAGAAATCACCTCTAAAGATAGAGTCAAGTGATCTACCTAATCACCTCGGCAGTCTTCCTCACCAGCAAGACAAGGCTACGTTTTACTCAAAATCCACCCTAAAATTTCTGTGTCTCTGAAGCTCACAGGTTAAATTTATACCCATCACCAGCAACCACAATGCACACATTAGTATAGGCACCTTTATCAGTTTCCTGCATTCACATGAAAGAGGAGAAAGGCTGCCTAAAATCTCTTTTTTATTCTAGTTAGCATGTACAAAGCACAAGGGTAAATTGCTAGCTAATAGCTATTCCCTGTGAAGGGCAAGCAGGTGTTGCAAGCTGCCTCAGCCTGACTTCCTGGAGGGCGGAGTGGATTAACTACAAGGTGGTTTAGCTAATTAAGGAATTCTAATGTTAACTCCCAGCAAGTTGGAGAAAAATTTAGGGGAGTTTTCTAACTTACTAGTGGAGAGAAAAGTCCAAACTTGAGGCTCCGCTCTTACTGCAGGCTTAAGAGAGGGCTCTAACAGTGTTGTCTTGGTCACTCTGGAACAGAGGATACCAGAAGATCGCTGGTAGGGATCTCACAGAGGTGCAGGTAGGACTCTGGGTAAGTGGAGATTTTTCTGCTGGTCACCCAGTTGGGCTGTTGGGACCAGGTTTCACTGAGGAACCTTGGGGATCCTCCAGAGAGTTACCCTGGCCATGAGCCCTCAGATGTCCTCTCAGTTTCCACTAGTTCCACACAACCAGGCATTTGTCTCCCGAAAGGAATCCAGCTGCCTGTCTTGTCAATGCTTCACAGGCTTCAGTGGGGATTGGCCAAAAGGTGCTGGAGAAATCTGTCCTCTGCTTTAAGAGTCGCAGCTGCTCTGAGAGCATTTAACTAGCGGGCAGAGTAACCACTGTTTGTTTTAGCATTCTATAAGGGACAGATAGCCGGGGATGTAGCTCAGTTTTGCTGCCTGCTGCGCAAGCGCAAGGACCTGAGTTCGATCCCTGGTACCAAAAACAGATAGTTCTTCCTATAAGGGACAGATAAAAGCCTGAGCTGTCTTCATCTAAGATGACGTCCCTGTGTTGCGCATTAACAAATGCTCATTTTCTGTGGGCTCAGCTTAAAAGTTCTTAGGAGGAAAATGTTGGGACAGTTCAGGGTTCCTTTCTCTCTAATCTTACATGTCCCCCCTCCCCCAGTGGAAAGTACAAAGTGGCAGGGAGAGATCAGAAATGAGATCAGAAAAAGAATCTTTTCTTCTCATGCTCATGGTGAGTTATTTCAAAAATTTCCTCATGAGTTGTCACTCTCAGCTTGGAAAAGTGAGAAGGGGGACTCTCAAGAGCTAAGATTGCCTTCTCACCAGCGAAGATCAGACTAGAAAGGAAACTGAGGCCCAACAGGCTCCATACTCCCCCTAGAGTGTAGAAGGGGCTCGGGGCCAGTCTGTCCCAGCGAAACCTGTTCCCCAGGTCTTAAGAACAGTTGCTGGCCTGTTGCCTTTTAACGGGCAGGTGATTTATTAATAGGCATGTATGTTTTCTAAACAGGAACTAGATTTCCTAAAGACCCATTTCACAGCATTTTACATCAAAGTCCACTAGGGGACACTGAAACATTACTTTTCCCCAGTGCTGCTGCCTAAGAGAAGATAAACCACAGCGGTGGAATAGGCCCAACAAGGAACACTAGGAAGTTCAGCAGCCAAGTCCAAACACAGCATGTACAAAGCAGGGATACGATGTCCCATCAGAGAAACACCATAACCTTCCCATGTGCTCAACATAATTTACCATCACTTTAACAAAAGACAATGCATAAAAGAGGAACAAGGCATAAAAATTCAAGACATAAGCAATTGACAAACAAGGATGACAATTTTTGATTACCTAACTGAGTCACAATACAGAATCTGAAACAAAAGCAAACGCTTACCTCCATCCAGTTATCTTGCTGGGGCCTCCAAAATGATATGGGGATGATATCAGACCTCCAAATAATATAAGGGCAATATTATAACTCCCAACCTGTTAGACGTCCGATACACCGAGTTCGTGTTCTCTAAAGTAGAAGAATGAGTTCTACAAACAGCAAGGTTAAGAGTAGGAAATGTTGGGGCCGGGGATTTAGCTCAGTGGTTCCGCCGCCTGCCTCGCAAGCGGAAGGACCTGAGTTCGATCCCAGGTACCAAAAAAAAAGAGTAGCAAATGTTTATTGAGGGATAGACAGCTCCTGCCTGAGAGGGACAGGAGGGAGCCTGGAAAGCCAGTTGCCCATGAGCCCACATCTCAAAGAAATTTTGTAGAGCAAAATCACAAGGTGGGTACAAAGTCATCAAGCAATAAGATTGCAAGTATAGTCACTTAGGTAACACTGATCCAATGGGGAGCAAGTCACGTAGCAAGTGTGCATGGAAGAGACAAGGGCCTTTCCTGGAAGGGATGGGTCGGGAGGTCTTGGTCCCCACCCCGGTGACGATGCCTATAGAATCAATCAGTATTGTTCATCCCTTGGGGTAGGTAGAGTCTTTCCTCTTCATCTTGAGGCCTGGCCTTCAGGAAATGTGCTTCCGCCTAGTCACAGTTGTAATGTGTTCTTATCTTCTGCACTGGCTTCTTTGAGGGCCTGACCCTGTCTGACCACCCATATTTCTATCTGACTTAGCTGAGTGTGACGTTTGCATTGACACATGAACTTGGAGCACATACACACACTCAGACCATGACACATTTGTGTCTGCATTCAAAGAGGTTGTATCAAGTTACATTTTAAAATTTTATGTTAAGGTAAGTACACACTTTGGGTAAAATACATAAAAGTCTGATTAAAAACTACCGTGAGGGGCCAGGGATTTGGGTCAGTGCTTCTGCCACCTGCTTTGAAAGCACAAGGTCCCGAGTTCGATCCCGGGTACCAAAAATATCCCCCCAAAACCAAAAAAACTGTCATGAACATTAATGCAGTGAAAGAAATATTGCCACGAATCCTGTTCAAAATTCTCCCTCTTGCTTTGAACACACTCATCCCATCGCCTGGCCGCTTCCACAGCAGCTCTGGAGCCCTCTCTCCTGAGGGTCTTTAGCTGTGCTGTCCTGGCTGCCTCGCTGTCCTAAATGGATTAAAAATGTTTCCCTTTCATGGTCATTTTGACTTTGGGGAAGAGCTGGAAGTCACACAGCACCAGATCCAGTGACTAAGGCAAACAAGGCTAAACTGTAATGTTTTTATTTGATAAAACTTGCCAAAATGTTTTGAATTGAGCCAGGACATTGAGACAGCCAGGACAGTGCAACTAAAGACCCTCAGGAAAAGGACTGTAGAGTTGGTGCAGGAAGTGGCCGGGATGGTGGGGTGAGTGTGTTCAAAGCAAGGGGGAGGGTTTTGAGGAAGATTAATGCAGTGTGTCTGTTATTGTAGTAAATTTTTAAAAATTTATTTAAGCATTTACTGTTCTCCTCACACCCTATATATAACATATTCTTTTAGCAAGCAGAACTTTCAAACCTATGAATTCTTTTTTTTTTTTGAGACAGGGTCTTGATATATAGTTCAGACCCACCTTGAACTCACTGTGTAGCCCAGGCTGGCCTCAAACTCGCAGAGATCCTTCCTGCCTCAGCCTCCTGAGTGCTGGGAATACAGGTGTGCATCACCATGCCCAGCCTAACCTATGAATTCTTTACTTCCAGTTCTAAACCAAGACCCTTCAACTACTAGTTATGATACTACAAATCAAAGTTACTTTGAAGATGATCATTTTTCAGTAAATGTATAGAAGTCAAATTTATTTCGCTGGGTTTCTTGGGTCATTGTAGTCAGTTTTGTCCTAAGAAAGGTTTTCTTGCTGCTTTGTGATTTAAATAGCTGGCAAAGATTTTGTTTCTCAAATAAACACTTTTTAAAAAAATTTTTATTTTATTGGTACATTTTAGGTATACAGTATAATGACATTCATCATTGGAAATCTGCGCCTTTACATAATCTCTCTTGGTTCTTATTTTTCCCCCTTCCCCTGCCCTCCCTTCAACCCCTCCATCCCTCCCTATTTACAAAGACTTTGTTTCCATTTTTCCTTTTTCTCATATTAATTCCATTCCCTTCTTTCCTTTCCCCTAGCCCTCCCACTTCCCCCTCACCTTTGCCCATTTTCTTCCTGTTTCACATGAAATGAACACTTTTGAAGTGAAAGGTGCCCCAGCTAAGGGAATTTCCCCCGTTCCCTCTTTTTATTTTAAATTTATTTATTTATTTATTTCCCCCCATTCTCTCTCTTTGATTTACTTTCTTTTTATCATGCTCTGTGGCTCTCCTTATAGAGTTTTCAGTTTTCATTTTCATTGGTCCATGCTGTCCACGCATAACGATGACGTGTGTCGGGAGTCGGTGCAGGCACCGAACACTTATTAGTTCTTTTTGACCCCCCTCCTGGCCCCCTTTCCACTTGCAGAGCCCTGCCTCGGTTTCCCCTCTCCCTCCCCCAGCCCCCCGTCCTAATGGGCCTGTGTCTTCTCCCACAGGACGGCCGGGCCGCCTCGTCCATCCTGGTCGGTGCTATGTTCATCTTCTGCAATCTCTACTGCACCCCTGGGCCTGCCATTCGGTTGCTGTACGCAAAGAGGCCGGGAATCGGACTGTCGCCGTCCCACCGGAGGTATGGCAGGCACAGGGTGGCTCTAGGGACCCTGTCCTGCTTGAAACCTGCCTTCTGGGGCTTGCATCACCTTCTTCTAGTTTATCTGACATTATTCTGAACCACGAGAACAGCTGAATTGGATTAGGGAGTTGGGTTTTCAATTTGTGTGTGTGTGTGTGTGTGTGTGTGTGGTCCCTGCACTTGTGCAGCAGGCAGCGATACCACTGAGCTAAATCCCCGGCCCGAAGGGTTTTCGATATTTTAAGTGTCCATGTGAGAGTCTGTGATATTAAAATTAGAAAGAAACTTTAAAGAATACTTATGCCAAGCTGGGCATGGTGGCGCTTGCCTGTAATCTCAGCACTTGGGAGGCTGAGGCAGGAGGATCACTATAAATTCGAGGCCAACCTCGGCCATGGGGTGAGTTCAAGCCCAGCCTGGATTACATAGCAATTCTGGGTCTCACAAAAGCCCAAAGAATACTTATGTTGACCTGCCTTACGTTACAGGTGAGAAAGATGGCCTGTGACAGGCTGTCGCTCGCCCCAGTAGACATAGCCAGGACACCGGTGGGCCCAGCCCGGAGACCAGCCCCGTTGTGCGGCGTCACTTAGGTCTTTATGGAAATGCGAGCAGGGCTGGGTGTGCTCACCCCCGTGGGGGACGGGGTGGCGAGGGGAAAGGCGGGAATACGGAGAGGAGGAGTTTAGAGCTTGCTTTTTCCTTACGACTCAGATATAGGCAAAAGGAAGTAAATTACAAAATATAATCTGAAAAGCAGCTCGAAACAGGAAACCTGTTTAGATGACTGATTTATCTTCCTCCTTCTGGTTGTCATTTTCCATTTCAAAAAATCTTAATCACATCTCTTTTACTTCTTTGGATTAGTAGTGCTTCTGATGATACAATTTAAAAATTTTCTCCAAGTCGGCCTTTAGCTGATGAGCATAATCCTCCAGGTACAATCAGAAGCGATGAAATGTCGAGTGAGCACAAAGCCGCCTGAGCCTCTGATTTACCAAACTCCCCCTGCTCGGCCCTCAGGGAAGCTCCGCGAAGGCAGTGGACAAAGCTCCCTTCTTTTCTCACACTCTTCTGCAGAGAGTGTTGGAGAAATCAATGGAGCACGTTTTTGTTGCACGCTAGTGATTTGCAAGAACAGACTTCACAGTGCGGACGGCACGTTCTCCGGTGTGCGGCCCCGAACAGCGCTCTGTGTTTTAGGTACCTGGGCTACATGTGTGACCTCCTGGCAGACAAGCCCTACCACCCTCACTTCAAGCCTCTCACCATGAAGTCCATCACCGTCAGTCCTGTCCCCTTCTTTAACAAGCAGAGGACTGGATGTCGCCCTTACTGCGACGTGCTGATCGGAGAAACCAAAATATACTCGACCTGCACAGAGTTTGAGCGAATGAAGTGAGTCAGGAGCCCCATCTTCACTGCCTCTGTGTACTGCTTGATTGTATTTTCTGTGCAGGTCTATACCACTGGGAAGTGGCTAATAAGAGAAAAGTTCAGATAGCTGGGCATGGTGTCCCGGCACTCAGGAGGCTGAGGCAGGAGGGTTGGAGGCCAGACTGGGCTCCATAGTGAGTTCGAGGCCAGCTGGAACGACATAGCGAGACCCTGTCTCAAAAAACAACAAGAAAGTTGGACACCAGTAGTAACCTTAGACAAGTGCAACTGAAGGGTTGCTGTGTTCTGGCTGCTCCAGAAGGTGCATAGGGCGAGGGCCAGCGTGAGTCCTAATGAGCGCTAAGACAGGAGGGGGCGCACAGAGGACCCTCGGGAGGACAGGCTTCGGTGGTGCCAGTGGGTCAGGGCGGGGTGAGGTTTCCAGGTGAGCCACTAGGTGAGGTGGTGATGTAGTTAGAGAAGTGGCCGGATCCGTGACCAGCAGTAGGGGCACGGGGAGGCCGCATGGCGGGTGGATGAGTGGGTGGTGACCTGAAATGAAATAGCTGGGAATAGGGCGGGCTTGGAGATTTGTATTTGAGATGAAAAGCAGGGCCTGCTGGCACTTGGGAGCCTGAGGCAGGAGGATCACATTTCCGTTTCTACACTGACCCCACTTGGATTCTGTGCTCCCTTGGTCTCTGCTGTCACGATTAAGTTAAGGTCAGGAGAAGGCAAAAGGTGTTCTGCAGAGAGGGCTGGGCAGTGGCACCACCCAGCGGTCCGGACGGATGGCAGACGGGTGGCGGGGTCTGCATCGGAGTGGCCTGGTTCCCGGCGGGGCCGGGGTGCGTCGGGTCGGCCTCACGTGTGCCTGAGGCGGACTCAGCCTGGGCAGACAGGTTCCCGGCCAGAACCTCGCCCTCGTCTGTGTGACTGCTCCGTGCCGGATGCGTTTTATGTGTGTGTTTTCATCTGTTCAGAGAATATCGTGTCCAAGATGGAAAAATCTTCATTCCCTTGAACATCACTGTGCAGGGAGACGTGGTTGTGTCCGTGTTCCACCTGAGGTCCACCATTGGGAGCCGGCTGCAGGCTAAGGTGAGCTTTCGGGAGGAACGCGCCCCAGCCCGCTTGAGATCTGTTGATTGCTGTTGAGGACAGAACCCGGGGCCCGGTGCGTGCTGGGCAAATACTCTACCCCTGAGCCGAATCCCCAGCCCTCCCCGAGCTCCTCATGGGAGTATTTATGAGTCTTTCCCCAGACCACGTTGTGCTTGAGTGACTTGTGGCTTTAGGGTAAGAAAGAGCCTTTAGAATGTGGAATTAAAATTTTGGATTTTTTTTACTAAGATAAAATTCACATTATGTATAAGCCACCTTTAAAAAACGTACAGTAGCTAGGTGTGGCGGCACACCCCAGTGACCCTAGCATTTGGGAGGCTGAGGCAGGAGCATCACTTAGAGTTCGAGGCCAGCCTGGGCTAATAGTGAGTTCAAGGCCAGCCTGAATGACATAGTGCGACTCTGTCTCAAAAAAACCAAATAAATAAATAAATAGTGTACAATGCAGTGTTTTTAAGACATATTAACACTGTGGACAGCCGTGACAACTATCAACTCTAGAGCATTTTTATCACCCCTAAAGAGACTCCGTATCCATCAGTGCCACCTCCCTTCCCTGGCTCCTGACAGCCGTGGATCTGCTTCCGGTCCCCATGGATTTGCCTGTTTTGGACATTTCATATACATGGAGCCATGCAGAATATGTTCTCTTGTGGACAGCCTTTTCCACTTGGCATAATGCTTTTCGGTTTATCTGTGGGTAGCGTATATTAGCCTTCCATTCCTGTGGACAGCCTTGTAGTCTGTCATCCCGCCAGACCACAGTCTGCTAATCTCCCGGTCTGGTGAGGGCCACTGGGGTGGTAGCCACTCCTTGGCGGTTAGGGGTGGTGTGTAAGTAGTTCCACTTTAGGTAATCACGTGTTTGCTAAGTGGGGTGGCCCAGAAGGAGGATGTCAGGGCGTCAGGCTTGGCCGTGTGAGGGCTCTGGGCCTTGGGGCTGGGAGGGGCCCTGGCGAGGCTGAGGCGGAGCTTCCAGCGGGAGCAGCCTGCTTGCCATCAAAGTCAGCGAAGCTTCAGATGCAGAAACAGCCACAGGGGCGGCTCCCAGCTGACCCGCTGATGAGCTTCTCTCTTCTTAGGTGACCAACACGCAGATCTTGCAGCTTCAGTTTCACTCTGGATTCATCCCCCTGGACACCACAGTTTTAAAGTTCACCAAGTAAGTCCTGCCTGGACGGGAAGTCTGTGGCTGTCACAGTCCTGTGGCTGCGATGTGCGGGCCTCTACAGGGCCACACTGCAGTGTCCCCTACCCCTGGGCTGCCGGGTGTGTTCAGAACTCTCAGCTGAGAAGTGCGAGTGGATCGGAGGCTTCAATTAGACAGGTCTGAAATTCTGCAGGAAGGAAGGAGAGCGAATGAGGAGAGGCAAAGGGCTATCACTGTGACCCTTTGTTTCTGGCGGTTTAGCCAGGGGCTGCTTGCATGATGACCATGAGGGTAGGTGCCCAGCACAGTGCCGAGCAGCGGACCTGACCCTTAGTGGCATTGTCACGGTGTGCCAGGGAATGCCACGTGGTGGCTGAAGCTGGGGTGACTTTCAGGGGCTCAGGACAGCAGCGGGGGGCTTTATTGCACCATTTTACGAACTGATTTGGCCAGGCCAGTGCCTACTGGCTGTGTGGTTCAGCTCTGCTTTCCAGGATGCCTTCACAGGCGGTAGTGTCTGTGGTCTTCGAACAGGGATTCGTCTCCTTTTCTTTCTAGAGGAGGAAACAGGCACAGAGAAGTAAAGTAGTGCATCTCCCGGAGCGAGTCCTGAAAGTGTACCTGAGGTGGTGTCTGCGGAGTGGCTTACTGTCCCTGTTCATTCTTAATCTTGTCCTTTCAAATCCCCGTGTAGGCCTGAGTTAGATGCGTGTGATGTCCCAGAGAAGTATCCCCAGCTGTTTCAAGTCACACTGGATGTGGAGCTCCAGCCGCAGGACAAGGCGGTGGACCTGACCCCGCCGTGGGAGCACTGCTGCACAAAGGACGTCAGTCCCAGCGTGCTCTTCTCCTCTCACCAGGAGCACCAGGACACGCTGGCCTTGGGAGGTGGGGGCCGCCTCTGCTTTGTTTTGCGGGCCGAGGCCTCGTGTGCCTTCTGCCCTGTCTCTCACTCATCCGCACGGCCTTCCGTGTTGCAGGACAGGCTGCGGTGGACGCGCCCCCCGACACCCCCAGGCACCCCGGCCAAGGCGGCTTCTTCTCATCTCTCTGTTGGCAAGGTACCCACGGGTGTGTCTTCGCGGGCCGTGGTGGGGTGCAGGGATGGAGGCGCAGCGTGTGGCTCTTACAAGACGATCTCGGCCCCAGAAGCGAGCGAAGTGAAAGCCCCAGTCCGAAGCCATGAAGGTCCCCTCCTCCTTAGCACACACCCTTCCAAGCCAGGTGGCTTCCCCACTTCCAGCTTCACGGAGGGAGAGGCCACCCGAGGGCTGCTGGCCACACAACAAGATTGGCAAAGGATTCTACTTCTTGCCTTCAGTTAAATACCCTAAAAACGTAAAGTCGAGCGTTTCCTCTAGAGCTTTAACCACTCGCTGGGAGGCAAACCAAAGCCTTGTCTCTTCGCTTGCTTTCCCAAGTGTTGGCAGAGATGGGGCCCCACCGCCTGCCCTCTTCCCCTGCAGCTGGAGATACCTTCAGACCCACTGCACAAGGCTGGCCTGCTGGCGTCCCCAGCCTGCTCTGCAGCGTCCTGGGGGAACCGCAGGCTCAGTGGGGGAGCGGGGCATCAGGAGCTTCCGTGAGGAGAGCTGACAGCTGGCTTCGGGTGGGCCAGCGCCAGTCCCCTCCCTGCCTGCCGTGCTGTGTGGCTGCTCCACAATTCACATTACCTACAGAGATCTTCAGAGTTTGGTGAAACAAGTTTCTGTAGAATTCCTTTGAATCACGCACTTCTCAGCCCAATTATCAAAATGTGGGATGACCGGAAATCACATATTTGTCATTCATTTTTGTGAGATAACGTAACAGGAAATATAAAAATGACAATTTTATCCAATTTATTCAGTGCGAAAATTGACCGGCTGACATGACGCCCACCCAAGTGATGTGAGGGGCAAACTGTTAAGAGGGTGAAAGGCTTATTTTCTGAGTTCTCTTTTGAGAAATGAGAAGAAAAACTTCTCAAACCCGGAAAACCTAGCTCACTCTAGATAGCAGGTAGATTTTGAAGCCTCTTCTTTGTTTTCCTTTTTTTCTTTTTGATACTGGGGATCGAACTTGGGACCTTGTGCTTGCGAGGCAGGTGCCGGAACCACTGAGCTACGTCCCTGGCCCATCTTTCTTCTTTCTTTTTTTTTTTTTAAGACAGGGTCTCGCTATGCAATTCAGGCCGGCCTTGAACTCACTATGTAGCCCGGGTTGGCCTCGAACTTGCAGCGATCCTCCTGCCTCAGCCTCCAGAGGGCTGGGATTACAGGTGTGCACCACCACCCCGGCTTCTTGGTTTCTCTTCCATCTTCCTGACTGGGCATTCCGTAAAGACCTTTCCCTCGCCATGTTAGCTGTAAAGCAGAAATAAGTTCTGTGGGCTCCAGTCTGAACTTCGCTAGCGGTGCTGGTGTTAGAAGGGCACTGTGGGGTGTAGCCTTGATCGCTCAGCGTCCCATCGGCACCCGGGATGGCCCCTTCTACTGAAGAATCTCACTGTTTCTGCAGGGGGATGGAACCTTGAGCAGGCTGGCTGTACTTCTGTCCCTCCTGATCACGCCCCCGCCCCCCCAGCTCGCGCACGCGCACGCGCACGCGGAAGAGTCTTCCGCTTCTCAGCATTTCACACCTGGGGAGCAGGGTGTGGGCTGCATCCCATTTGGAAGGCGGGCTGTCTGAGGCTCAGGAAGGAAGGTCTGTGGAGAGATCATCACAGGCTCTCAGCCTCCGTCCTGGCCCTGTTTACCGTCGAGTGGCTCCCCTCGGCTGGGTGGAACACCGCCCGAGCCCTCAGTTCCCTTGTTGGCTGAGCAGTGGCTTCTGCTTCCCCGAGGGGAAGAGCCTTGCTGTGAATCAGTTGTTTGGTTTTCCCCACAGAGCACGGGGCATCGTGCCTGGACATCAGCCATAGTAATCAGGATCACTTTGGGACAGTGGCCTGGAGTGGGTGCCCTTCCTGACCCTTGCTTCGCTGAGGAGACCAGGGCCCAAGGAGTACAGGGAGTTGTGTGGGGTCCCAGCCGGCGAGCGGTGGTTCCTTCTCTGCACCCCATGGCACCCTGCACCCGGCTGAGACCTCGCCCAGCCGCTGGGCGTTGAGTATAGTGAGAGTGCCCAGGGCTCCCCCTGGGAGGGTGCGGAGCTGGGTCTCTGCAGGCCCGAGTCCTCCCCTCTCCGGGGGATGCTGCGCGCTTGGTGGCAGAGGACCCAGCCCCATTGCGGGCAGCCCCTCACCCCCGCCGCCCGCTGGCCTTCCTCAGATCAGAAGCCGGAGAAGTCCTGCGAGGAGGACCACGCAGCCCTGGTGAACCAGGAGAGCGAGCAGTCGGACGATGAGCTCCTGACGCTGTCCAGTCCGCACGGCAGCGCCAACGGTGACCGGCAGCACGGGCCCAAGAGGCCCAGCAAGAAGCAGCAGGAGCCCGTGGTGCCCCCGGCCCCAGAGGAGGTGGACCTGCTGGGCCTCGAGGGCTCCGACGTGAGCCAGAGCTTCTCCCCGCAGGCGCCCCCGCCCACCAACACCGAACTGCTCAGTGACCTGGACCTGTTCGGGGGCACAGGTGCCGCTGGCCCAGCCCCGGCCGGACAGTCGGGGGTGGAGGATGCGTTCCACCCCAGCGGGGCAGCGTCCGCCCAGTCTACACCGCGCCGCAGCGCCTCCAGCTCCGCCTCGCCCACCCTGCGCGTGGGAGAAGGTAACGTCCTGGCTTGTAATGGGGGGCCCAGCAGGCAGAATGAGCTGTCCTAGGAATCTGTCCTCTGCCGGTCTCCCGAGTGTCTCTTAGAAGCCTACCTGTAGGTCTCCGCGTAAATGGAGAACGGAAGAGAAAACGGATATGGTGTCTGTCTTGCTAGGCGACAGTAAGTGGGTATTTGAGCTCCACGTGGTCACCTTTAATTTTCTGTTTTCAGGATATCAAGCCGTGAGCTGCTTTGGTTACCGCTGCTTGGGGATGTGGATGGATGAATTATTATTAAAAATATCAGCTAATATTTGTGGGATACTTAGCATCTGCCTGATACGAAATGTACCACTAAACATGACTTAGTTCTTATAAAAACCCGATACGTGGGGGGTGTTATCTTATAGTTGAGGAAATGGAAGCCTAGAGTTAAATGAAGAGCCTAAGTTCCCGCAGCTGGTAAACCTGGCGCTGGGCTCCGGAGCCGTCCTCCGAGGAATCGCGGTGCGGGGCGTTGGTGCCAGCGCGTGGCTGAGGGAGCAGAGCCGGGACTCCTGTGGCCTGGGTAGTTTCTTTCCTCACTGCTCCCTGCCACCCCCTGCTGGTCACCCACGACTCTGTGACTTCCGCAAGCTGCTGCTGCTGCTAAGCAGAGATGCAGGGCAGCTTCTGAGGGCCCACTCACACCAGGGGTCCCTGCTGCAGGCACGAGCTCCGGTTACCGGCAGCGTCAGGATCTGGCCCTCGGAGCTCTGAACCCTAGTCTGTCACTGCCTCTTCTATAGTTTGCTTATGTGTAGCTGGTTCTTATTCATCAGAGCGAATAAAAGACCCAAGGCAAAGCACCTGTGTGACTTCAGTGTCATCCCACGATGCAGTTGTATTCCAGTTGCAGAGCTGGGAGGGGTCTTGGACCTCAGCTGATTCCGGTCTCAGGTTACAGACAGCAACACTACATGTGCTGGCTGCTTTATCTGAGCATACTCAGCTGATTAGTGGTAGACCTGGGTCTACAGCTCAGAAAGAATACCAGGTCCAGAGCTAAAGGCCTGGGTTTGAATCTCAGGACCAACACACCTCGCTGGGTAGTCTTATTAAAACCCTTAGTTCATAGTTGTAAAGAGAGATGGTACCTGTTAGTGTTGTTGTAAATTTTGAGCTCTTGTCTGTGATGGTCAGCATGTCACTTTCAGTTAGTAGAGAATGTCTGTCACAGAACGTGATAGGAAAAGTGCACCAAGTAATGTTGAGCGTTTAGCATTTTCCACTGGCCGGTCTCTACCCGGATGTAGAGAGATTAACCCAGGATTGCCTTCTGGTGACCCTGTAATCTTGGTGTTTTCAATTTTCAGCAAGGATGAGGGTTCACGGGGATTAAACGAGATGAGGGGTCTGTCTTGTTAGCAAGGTGCCTGGGGCTCAATCCCTAGCTCTGCGGCCTCCCGTGCTGCCCAGAGGTCGGGAGAGCAGGTGCTCTGGAGTCACAGTGTCCACGGCGGGAGCCCATGGCCTTCTGGCATCGTGGGAGAGGGGCTGCTTTGTGAGGTGGTTTGGTCCTCACTTCCTGTTCCTAGAACAGGCCAGCTGCTCGCTAGTAGGCGAACACAGCTGAGGAAGCAACATCTTATTGTAGGGAGCTAGAGGAGCTCTCATTCTTTGCTCAGTCATGAGAAATTAAGGCCAAGTATCTTCGTGTAGCTCAGCTGTTTTTATCAAATTCAATATGGTGGTGAGAAGTACAAGCTGCTTTGCAGAAACTCCCGGAATTTCAGGAGACCCGAGCATCAGTTCCAGCCCAATTGTTTGCTTGACTTTGGGCAAGAGCCTCTGCTTTCTGAGCCTCCGTTTCCTCATCTGTAGCATGAAGGTGCCACTGCCGTCTGACAGGGCGAGGTTGAGGCTCAGCCGAGGCTTCCCTGTGAAAGACAGAGTGAACCCCAGGAGGGAGAGCGCTAGCTGCAGTGTTGTTGCCGGTGCCTGCAGCTCCCCAGTCCCCTGGTTTTCTCAGCTCAGACTAATCCATGGTCATTAAATCTGCATCTCGTCTCCAGCAGGTGGTTGAGAGGCCGCGGTTTGGAAATGTTTGACTTTCCTAAGACATAAGCTGTGATGGGAGTTCAGTGTTTTTTCTTCTTCTTCACTGCTTTCCTTTTATTCTCTTTGCAACTTTCAAGTGAGCCAGAGACCACTTAAAAGCAAAACTAAACAAAACCTAGTTGTGGTTTTCTGCTGTTCGTCTTAATAGCACCCCACCCCTGTATCTGTCCATTTGTTTATTTAGCATGAACATCCATGGTGCAGTCACCGCACGTCTCAGGTCCATGCATGGATTCGATATTGGGCTTCAGCTCTGTGGCCTTTGTCTTCTCAGCTAGCCTGTGACCTTGATTGACCGGTTTCATGTTACCTGGATGTTTAAAGGCCAAAGGGGCCGCTATTTGTAGTCTTTACAGTTTATCCAACAGATGGTTAACTCCAGACTCCTCCATTGTCTGTGATAGTGGGATTATTCTTGTGTGGTCGGAAACCTTTGGGACCCGTTGTTAGCCCTGGAGGAAGTTTTAAGGATATCATGGGCCTGTGGAGTGGCCTGGAAGGCTGTTATTATGAATTTTCAAGTATTTGGCCTAGGGCCAGGTGATAATGACAATTCCATATTTATAGAATGACTGGATATATAGGACAAAGAGATACGTTTCCCCCATTGTTTTCTAGGTGCCACCTTTGACCCATTTGGAGCCCCTGCTAAGCCATCTGGCCAAGACTTGCTGGGTTCCTTTCTAAGCACATCCAGTGCTTCCAGTGACCCCTTCCTTCAGCCCACGAGAAGTCCTTCACCTACTGTTCTTGGTAAGAAAGCATTTCCAATCGTGTCCAGTGGAATATAGTTCTCTGCAAGGTGTCAGAAGTGCTCAGATATAAGTGCATCCTGTGGGTGATTTTTTTTGGGTGGCTACATGATGTATATTTCTTTTGGAAATTAATAATTTACACTAACATATCAAAAGCTCTGGGATGTATTAGAAGAAAGCAACCCATTGAACTCTTATTTTTTTCTCACCTTCCCTAAAATTTATTTGACTGTGAAGTTCTTTTTCGTATTAGAGCTATATTCATGAAGCATAAAGCACCATTCCTTGGAGGGTGTGTCATTTTTTAAAACGTACCAATAGAAAAGAAAAATCCCACAACACTGCCACTTTTAATTATTTGAAGTTGCATCCCAGTTGGAGAAATCTTTGAAATGTGGAAAAACATGAGTCTTAAGTTAACCAAATATGATATTAGCATTCTATGAAATTAGTATTCCACGGAGCAAAGTGTTCCCTATACCACCCTGGTGCAGAACTATTCTGTCAGCTGTGACAGCTGGCAACCACGTGTGGCCGTAGAGCACTGGAATTGTGGCTGGTGACGTTTGAGATGTCTCTACACACATGGCATCTGCCAGATTTTCAAACTTAGTACATGGCAAAACAATGTAAAATACCTTGTTTGTATTTTATACTGACAGTTTATTAAAATAATATTTGCATTATATTAGTAACTAAAATACACTGTTAAAATTACTTGCACTGATACCATTTTACATTTTACAGCCTGGCTGTTAGAGAATTTTGAGTGACACATGTGGCCCACATTATATTTCCACGGTAGAGATTCAGGTTGCACGCACACTGGTATGTAATCATGACAGGGTGTAAGTGCAAAGTGTGTTGCTCAGGTTACACTGATTAAACCTGGAGCTCAGCAGTGTCTTAGTTTTCTTGTTGCCGAGGCAAAATACCTGACAGCTGAAGTTAGAGGAAAGGTTTATTTTAGCTCACAGTTTCAGCCCATAATCAGCTGGCTCCAAGGCAGAGGGGCATGGCAGAGGGGAATTGCAGAGGAGAAACAGCTTATGGGAGGCAGAAAGCATCAAAATCCTCCAAGCAGCAAACAACAAGCAAGAAGCAATAAGCGACGACCTTTCTGTCCCTTGTATCTTACTCAGGCTACCTATCCTTGGGGTGGGCAGCACTCACACCCAGGGTGGGGCAGCCTTGATCCTACCCAGAACTGTCAAACCAATCAGAGGACTAATGTAGTAACCACACACCCTTGATCCCAGCATCACACACCCTAGATCCAGCCACCTCTGGAAAGCCCCACCTTTGACCACATGAGGCTTTGGAGACATCTAGACGCAGCCATAACAAGTGGTGAAGGGCAGATGGCTTTTAGCCGCGTTGGGCTCCTTCTAATGTTGAACGTTGTTGGCCTCAGCCTGGAGGTGACTTGTTGCAGAAGGTACCTGAGCTTACCTGGAGAAAGCAGCCGGGTCATAGCTTGACTTCAGAGCCCTGCAAATGCAAAAGGAAGTTGAGCTGTGCAACACTAGTCAACCATAAATTGGCCGAAAAGGAGAAATCGTTCCAGGAGCCAACGCTGTGGTTTGTGATTTCCAGCTGGTCCTTAATCTCAAGCTATTTGAAGTGGGCCGGAGAATGAGCTGGAAGGAGCAGTGGCCTGTGTAGGCCCTGCCTGTGACCCCTTTCCATTTCTCCCCTTGCTCCCTTCCTCCCAGCCCTGTTGGCCTCTCGTGCTGGCCGTCCACTTTCTCTGCTCTGAGCTTTTCCCTGGACATCTGCAAGGCCGCCTCCTTTGAGTCTTTGCCCTGTGCTACTCCAGGTGGGGCCCACGCTGCTCCATGTCAAACCCCAGCTCATCATCTGCCCTGCTCTGTGCTTTCCTTCCCATTGGACCTACTAACTTCCAACACATGCAGTCCTGTCCTGGTATATTGAAGGGAACAAGGAAAGGGGACGTTACCAGAACCTCTGCAGTGAGTCCTGGTCTCCTGCGAGCTACGGCAGCACAGGGCGAATGACAGGAAAGGTAGAAAAATGAGACTGAGAAGAAGCTGAGCTTTGGGTCTGATCAGTGCTGCTCTGGGCAGCAAAGACAAAGGCCCCTAGCTTGCAGCACCTTTCATTCAGTACATGGGGAGAAACAAATGTAACAAGTGAAATGCAGAGTTCAGTACTTCACAGTGGGATAAACAAGGTGTAACAAAAGGCTGGGGGCAGTGGAAATCCAAGAACAATGAGGAGCTAAGCAGATGAAGATTTGGTTCCTCCCTGGCATCTCCTCTCCCGCAGGTGTGGTCTTGCCCTAGATAATCACAGCATCCCGGGATCCCTGAGATCTCAGTTGGAGGCCAAATGGAATTATGTCTGGAATGCCATAGCTGGCCTGTAGGCAGGAGAACTAGGCCTAATCAAATGATTTTTCCCTAAAATTATGCAGCCTTGCTCCCAACAGTATATTATATTTATTTTTTGTTCTTTCCTCACTAGATCATGAATTCCACAAAGGGGGTGATTTTTGTTTGTTTTGTTCATTAATGCGTTCCTAATGTCTGGGAGAATTCCTGCATACCTTAGGGAGTATTAGCTTTCTTTCTAGTATGTAACTGTTAAATGAAGTTAACTCAGTTTCTTCCTATCAGAGTTTCTGTGAGTGTCCATAGGGTCACACCTTTTCCCGTCTGAATACTCGGAAGTCATTGTTGTGGGAACAGTGCTGCATTGGCAGTCCCATGGACATGGGTGTTCGTACTGCAGCCTGCTCCAGCGCTCTGTTTCTTGTCAGCTGGTTAGAGCACGTTGTTTTCCACCCAGTGTAGACCAGCCCCCCTTTGTTTGTAGCCTCGTTCATCATTCTGGTCTGTGCCATGCCTGTGAGCGAGGAGAATTTCTCACTGTCCTTTCCGGGAGAGTGGTGACCCTCCCTCTGTGGGTGAGGCGGTTGTGTCCTCTCCATGCTGGATAGCACACAAGACTCACTGGTCTGTGTGGGAGGACAGCTTGCCCACCTCCAACCCTTGGGTGCCCCTCAGGGTCCTAGAAGCATCCCCAGGCCCTTCTGAAAAATGACACATGTGGCCACATTGTGGTTCCATGATAGAGATTTAGGCTGCACGGAAAGCCGTCATCATCACACAATCAAGACTTACCACTTTTGAGTTCCGCAAGCACTCACCGAACACCTGTTTTGAAAGAGCCACCCCCTGGGTGGTGGTGATGGAAGCAAAAGTAACCCAACAACCATAGGAAAAGGCAGAATAGAGGCTTACGTGTTAAGTACTCACTAAACATTCCTTCTCATGTATGAGTAGGAACACATTCATCTGTTAATTCATTTCATTATTTCCATGTTCATTATGTGTTCAGGTATTACTTTTTCATATATTCACATATTTGTGACAGCTTCTGTATTTCCTGGGGCTAGGTGACGCATCTTTAGGTCTGTGCTCGCTGGTATGGTGCTTTGCATGTGGAAGGAACTCTTAAGGGATTGTGGACTCGACTCACCGGTAATAAGGTTGAAGCTCTGGTGCCTCACTTTCCATCCAAGTGGACAGGGAACCAAGATCCAAGTTGAAAGGAAATTGGACAGAAAATGTTAGCAAAATTGTCTGCGTTTCACCTCTGTTTTCATGGATTGCTGTGGAAAGGAGGAGAAAGCAGGAGTAGGCAGGGAAGAGCCACACCGAGAATAGCCCGTCCTTTGTTACCCAGGGAGGGAAGGCTCAGGACGTCTTGGTTGGTATGAAGTAAACAACTCAGGTCCAAGTGAGTCCTGAGTGCTGATCCTGGTGTCTGAATCGTTCTCAGATGATTCTCCTGTGTGTCTTTTCAGTCCCAGTTGCAATGTTGGTTTAATATTTGCATTTTGCTCCCAGATTTTACCAGTAAAACCTGGAGGTGCCTTAGAAAGAAATTCCTTCTTATAGCAGAACATTTTCAAATTCTAGGTTTGTAAGTTTGAGCGGGGTCAGAGTGATCTATTCTGAGGCTGGGATGGGCTTCTTTTGGGTGCCAGTAGGCACATCCCTGTCACCCGCATCCAGGGTGGTACATAGTCACTGCCCTGTACCTGTCGTGAATGACTCAGCGATCTCAACTCATGTCCAGCAGAAGAGAAGACACAATTTCGGTGCTAAGTGGATCATGCTCCGGTGCTCTTGTTAATGCTAAGGCGAATGGAAGGATTTTCCCCTTTTTCTCATTTCCCACTGTGATAAGTACAGAGTTAGGGAACACAAAGATGAATAAGACAGTTCTCCTTCCAGGAACTCCTGACTTAATGAAGACAGACACATGCACAATTCCAATTCCAATTGTGTGAATGTGGGGGAAAGCGAAGGTGAGCCAGAGAAGGGAGAGATTCACGTTACACCTGGCTTTTACCCAGCCTTATGTAGGGAGCCATGGGTGAGGGCAGACATGCCCAGTGTTGCAGGGTGTGGGGAAAGCTCAGGAGGAGGGCGGGCTACCTGGGGACCCCAAAAGGCCACGCTGGCCCAGGAGGGGATGGCGCTATCCCGTGTGACCTCAGAAAGCTGGGCTCTGAACTCTCGATTTTATTCTTTTCCTTCCCACCATGTGCAGCGTCTAGCACCCCTGCTGTGAGCATTCAGCCAGATGTTTTGGGAGGCTGGGACTGGCACGCTAAACCAGGTAAAGGCAGCAGGCTTGGTTTCATACGCCCTTAACCAGTTGTCAAAGCGGAATCCTTCACCCAGCAAGAGCTGGGAACAGCCAGAGTATTGGGACCGCCTAGGTGGTGATGCACGTTGATTTTCCCCAAACAGCGCTTTCCTGTGCATGCAGTGACACGGTAGTGTGTTATGTAACTACTTAGTGTGTTATTTCACTTTCCTGAGTCTCGTCAGCAGAATATCTGTCTTGAGGATAAAATCAGACAGATCCGATGTCTGTCTAACTCTAGCACCTAGAAACACTTGGGTGTTTCGATGAGTCTGAGCTGCACTATTCTTTTCTACAAAGCAGGGATACTAATTTCTATTCCATACAGTTTTGTAAGCTTAATGGCTTGGGCAGTAGTTTCTGGCATAGAGTAGATGCTGAATACGGATATTGTTCTTTCTTCACAAAGCACTTGTTTTGGGGTTGGATTTCTTGGTAATAGAGAAGTTCTCCTTCCATGGCTACGTGACATTTATTGAGAGCTGTCTTGTGTAATTGTGCTCCTGTTGTTACTCATGCAGATTCACACACACACACAGGATATACTTATCACAACTTCCTGCAGCAGTTGCTGCCTCCTTTTGATTTTATTGGTTAGAGAAAGGGAAACTACAACATCAAATTTACCCTTCCCACGGTTTCCAGGCACACAGTACAGACTGTTAGTGGGACACACACTGCTGACCGACAGACCCCAGCCCCGGCTGCCCCCGTCGCAGGCCTGAGCCTCCGCCCACTGGTGCTGACCTCCACCTCCTCTCTCCCAGCCCCTCCCTTAACCACCACGTTGCCTTCTGCTTCTGCCTCTCTGACAATTTGAGACACTTTGCATAGGCAGAACCTCTCAGTATCTGTCTTCTTGTGGCTGTGTCCCAAGGTTCACCCATGTTGAAGCACATGACAGACTTTTTCTTTGAAAGGCTGAGTAATGTCCTGTTGCACACACCTGCAAGTTTCTCTACCTCTGCTCTGCTGACAGATGTTTAGTTTGGTCTGCCTCTTGCTTGTTGTGAATAATGCCGTACGAACAGGGGTGTGTGTGTGTTCCTGCTCTCAGTCCCTTGGATGTGCACTCAGAAGAGGTTGCTGGGCCATCTGGTAGCTCTACTTCGAACTTTCATGGAGCCATCATATCCACTAAAATGGGTTGCACCATTTTACCTTCCCACCAGGACTGAACCAAGGTTCCAGTTTCCTCACATCCTCACCAACACTTGTTATTTTCTGTTTTTGTTTGTTTGTTCTTTGGTTTTGGTTTTTAGAGACAGGGTCTGGCTGTGCAGTTCAGGCTGCCCTTGGACTGGCAGCGATCCTCCTGCCTCAGCTAGGATTGCAGGCGTGTGCCACCACACCTGGCTTTTTGTTTCTTTTTTCTTTTTTTTTTTGGTACCAGGGATCAGACTCGGGTCCTGCTTGCGAGGCAGGCAGCGGAACCACTGAGCTAAATCCCTGGCCCCACTTTTTAAAAAATAATGGTCATCTTGACAGGTGTAGGGTGATGTTGTTCTGATTTACATTTTTGTAATAATTAGTGATGGTGAGAATCTTACGGTCATTTGATGTCTGTTCGGGGCTTTGGCTCTTTTTAAATCAGGTTTATTTGTTATTAAGTCATAGGAGCTCTTAACGTGTTCTAAATGTTAATGGCATATTAGATATGCCTGGCAAATATTTTCTCCCATTTCATAGTTTGTCTTTTCACCCTGTTGACTGTTTCCCTTGCTGGGAAGAAGTTTTTAAGTTTGATGTAGTCCCATTTGTCTACTTTTTGCTTTTATTGCTTGTGAGTTTGGTTTTGTATGATATGCTTTAAAAAACAACGATACAGTATTGAAGCTCAAAGACATTAAGCAAGATTCCCAGGGTAACTCAGGAAGTGACAGAGCCAGAATTCAGGGTGAGGGCTGACTCCAGATCCTACAAGGAAGAACGTACCCGGAGAGGGGAAACACTGGGAGTAATAGCTCACGAAATCCATTATGTCAGAACCCGGCCCTGGACAACTCACTAATTTCCCACGACCTTTTTGGTTTTCAGGAGGTTTTGGAATGGGAAGCAAATCAGCAGCCACCAGCCCGACAGGCTCCTCACATGGCACCCCGACCCATCAGAGCAAGCCCCAGACGCTGGACCCTTTTGCCGACCTCGGGACACTAGGTACAGACTCGGCAGGCTAAGAATAAATAACTGTCTGGGTGGCAGTGCCTCAAATCTAAACCTTGTTGTCCCAGATTGGTGGGGCTGCCCGGGACCTAGTGTGTGCATTTTCTTAAGCTGTATGGCATTGCATGTTGGGTTGGGAATAATGTCTACTCGTTTGTTCCTCCAGTGCCTGATTTTGGATTGGCAGCAGGAATAAACTTAGAGCTTCAGGAGCGTGTGAGGGTGAGGTTTGTCCCAAAGCCAAAGTGTAGGGCGACACGTGAGGTGTGCCGCTCAGAGAGCCCTGTGCCACCCACGCCAGCCCAGTTCGTCTTCTTCCCCTGTTCGCTGCAGTCTGGTCACTTTGTAGAATTCCGCAAGGGAAGTAGGCTTTGCGTGTCCTCATCGGTAGGTTAGTAGTGATTACAGGAGCAGGGTTCCTTGTGCCAGCGAGTCTGGGATTCACTGGGCTCGGTGGATTTTGATTGCTGCAAACCTTCTGTGCTCCTGGCAGAGCACAGAGGATAAAGTGGTGATGACAGGGACGGAGGAGTCACGTCATGTGACCGAGCGTCATCAGAGGGAATGATCTTCATATATGATGAGGGAAATGATCTGATGGTGAAGTTTTGAAATAAAGTTAAGTCTCTTCCCTTAAAAAAACAACTTTTGATAATCTGATCAGGGCTCGTGGTGACGCCCTTTGACAGGGATAGGACACCCAGGGTTCACGGGGCTCCGAGTTCCACATCCCCTCTTCCTCTTCCACCTTCTCTCTTGGGCAGTGCAGATTGTTAGGTAAGGCCGGGGAGGTGGACAGGAGGGCGTGCGAGCCATGTTGATAGTCGGTGTTTTCAGAGTCCTCCGAAGGCCCCCGTGCCCAGGGAATGTGAGCACAGCGCCATTTTTGCCAGGAACTGTGGCAGAGCCTTGACTCCATTCTGTACTCTAGAGTTTTGTTTTTTGGTACCAGGGATTGAACTCAGGTCCTTGCAGTTGCACAGCAGGCAGAGAATCCACTGAGCTAAATCCCTGGCCCTAGACTTTTTTTTCTTTAAAGATCTTTCATCCAGGCATGGTGGTGCACACTTGTAATCCCGGGACTCTGGGAGGCAGAGGCAGGAGATCACAAGTGTGAGTCTAGCCTGGACAACTTAGCAATTTAGCAGGACTCTCATGCAATAAATAAATAAATATATAAATAAAAATTTTAAAAGGGGCTGGGAATGTAGCTTAGTGTGAAGGCCCTAAGTTCAACCCCTAGTATCCCAACAAAACAAAACAAAACTCCCCAAATTATTTTACACAGTTATCTTCTTCCTTATTCCGCATTGTACCTTAATGCAAATTTCAAATTTTAAAGTAATTATATCAGGTGAACTTCTGCTTAAAATCTTACTTACTGTTCAGTTTTATACATTTATTTATCCAACAAATATTTACTGTTTTCTGTATTTCAGCACTCTTTTAATAAAAAGCAACCAAACAAAAACAAAACTCCTGTCATCTTAAAGGTTAAACCCTAGAAGTGAAAAGAGACAATAAATGAATAAATACATAATATAATTTCAAATCATAAAAATAATAATGACAGTTAATGTTTGTTGAGAGCTTTACTATGTGCAGGGCACTATTTTAAGTGTTTTTCATAGCATTTCATACAGTCTTTCTTGTACTCTTTTGCGGTAAGGACTATTACAGTCTTCATTTTTGTGGAAATGGAACACAAAAGGTGAAGTGGCACACCCAAGTGACAGGGTTTCAACACCAGGAGTGCAGCTCTGGAGCTCATGTGTGTAACCCAGTGCTGCGTGCTATGAAAACAAAACAGGAAAATCAAGGAAAGGAAAGGGTGGCGGATGATGTTTGAGCTAAGGTGTTATTTTAGACGGGTGGTTAGGAGGAAGAGCTTTGTAAAAACGCAGCATTGCACCTTGCATTCAGTGTCTTTCAGACTCTGTAGCCTAGAAACTTTCCTCTGCCTCTCCATCCGTCTTGCAGGAGGTTGGTATTTGAAGGGCTCAGCCAGCCTCGACGGTCTCAGTTGGGTTTGATCTCAACTTTGACTGCTTGGTTAAGGCAGTGTCAGTTACCAACTTCCCTTTGTAACTCGTAAATAATCTGGGAGAGACATTTGGAGGCAATCCTATTGAAAAATATCCAGTTTTTCCGTTGCACTTTTACTCGATGGTTTTAGCATTCTTTAATGATTCTTGCCAGAAGTAATTATGTCTGAATATTGTGATTCTCTAATTCTGTTAATCTTTCTATATATGTATTAGTGGGCATTTTACTGTGAGGAAGACCATCTGTCCATCCATCTGTCCATCCGTCCATCCATCTGTCCATCCATCCATCCATCCATCTGTCCATCTGTCCATCCGTCCATCTGTCCATCCATCCATCCGTCCATCCATATGTCCATCCATCCATCCATCCGTCCATCCATATGTCCATCCATCCGTCCATCCATCTGTCCATCCGTCCATCCATCTGTCCATTTATCCATCTGTCCATCCATCCATCCGTCCATCCATCTGTCCGTCCATCTGTCCATCCATCCATCTGTCCATCCATCTGTCCATCCATCCATCTGTCCGTCCATCTGTCCATCCATCTGTCCATCCATCTGTCCATCCATCTGTCCATTCGTCCATCCTCCGTCCATCCATCGTCCATCCGTCCATCCGTCCATCTGTCCATCTTCTTCATCATCTATCTCTATCATCAGAACAAAACTAATAGAATGTTTTGGTTCAGTGGCTTATCACTCATCGCTGTCCTTATTCTGTTGTTCTTCTCATCCTTGATTTGGTTTCTGAAAGCCCCATGCTGGTTCCTGTGTCCTTTTCTCTCGTTTCATCATTTCTGAGACCTTTCTTTATGGCCTAAGGAGCCGTTCCAGGCTCATCTCCACCATGTCCCCCCAGGCACAGAGCCCGGGCTCTCCGAGGAGCCCACGTCCCTTTCTCTGGGGAATGAAGGGCATGTGGGAGCCAAGAGCGAAGTCGGTTCATTGCTACTGGAGCGTTACTGTTCTGCCTTCCAGGAGACAGAGCTGGGAGTTGATTCATTATAAATGCAACTAAACACAAGAGCAACAACAAACAAAAACCAAACCAAACCCAACCCTTTGCTTCTGAACTGAGAGGGAGCCAGCAGTTTAAAGAGTGGCCCGGACAAACCCAGGCTGGAGGGGAAATGTAGGGTCTCACACAGCATGACCGAACTTCGAGGAGCTACTGGTGTTAGATGGCTCTAACACAGCGAAGAGCAGACCAAAGATGCCAAGAGTCCTCAGGAGCAGCCATGTATCTTTGTGCCCATCCCGTCCTGCCAGGACTCTGCGGGTCAGTGAGCACTGGCGGCCATGTGCCGGTGCCATTGTGCCGCAGGGCGGCTCGTGCCCTGCACGTGGAGTCACTGTGGCTAAGGCTCCCAGCACGGTTCTCCCCACAGCTTCTTATTCCACGTGGTTCCTTCTGTTCCCCAGGAACCTTTATAGTTTCAGAGTAGCCACACTCCTGTGCTGCAAACAACAAATCTACTTGAGCAGTGTGAGGGTTGATCTGGATGGGCATCTGGCTAGCATGGAGAGACACCTAGGGCATCAGTAAAGAGATGATTGGCATGTGGGACAGCAAACTGCAGCTGGAGGCCGGCCCTGAGTGTGCGCAGCATTATCCAGTAGGCTGGGGGCCCGTGTGGAGTGAAAGCAGAAGAAAGGGGAAGTGCCTCTCCCTCCTGCTCCCTCCTGCTCCCTCCTGCTCCCTCCTGCTCCCTCCTGCTCCCTCCTGCTCCCTCCTGCTCCCTCCTGCTCTCCCCTCCCCCTCTCTTTGCTCCGAGCCCAGCCCCAGCCGCTGCATTGCTCCTCCTCACTTCAGGCCCAAAGCAATGGAGTAGCTGAGCTCAGGCTGAAACTCTGAAACCAGCAGTCAAAAAACCCCCTTTCTTCCTCTGGTTGTTATATCAGCTATTTTGCCAAGTGACAGAAAGCTGGCTAACACAAGCAGCGGGAGAGTTCTTATCTTTTGGAAATGGAGTAACTCTTACAAGTTCCTTCTGAGGAAACAGTTCTCCTAAATTTCTCCACTTTTTAAATGCATAGTTTGGAAAAATTAAATGACTTTCCTAAAGTCACACAATGAACAGGTGTACAAGTGAGAGCTATAAGCCAGAATTTTTTATTCCTGGGCAAGTTCTCGAAGAGTAAAACTTAAACTTTCAAATTATAGGGCTGCAATTCAGAAAAGACCAAGGGCAGGGTCCTCCTTACTGTGTTTTTATGTGAACTAATTCTGCTATAAAATCAGTGCCCAGGTTCCTCCCAGGCATATTCAGATCTAACTGGTCTGCAGGCGCCTGGGTCAGCAGCGCCCAGGGAAACCTCCTCTGTTGCCTAGCAACTGCGTCTACCAGAAAGGAGTTGGAGGGTTGAAGACAGTCCCCGGGTTCTGAGGTCACTGGAGCCGGAGTCTGGGGACAGAGAAGGGCAAAGAGGTGGTTTTCAAGTCAAAACCTGTGACCGGGTTAGGATGTGGATCGGGGAAGAGAGGCCCCAACTCGGGAGGGAGTTCAGAACGGGCTTGTTCAGTCTGAGTGCAAATTGAAGCAACAGTCAGCTTTGCATTTTAGAAAGTTGGCTCTGGATTGATCACAGAGAACCCGTGAGAATGGGCAGGAGGTGGGAGTGGAAGGGCCAGCTGCCCATGGCCGCAGGGGCTGATAAGGCGATGTCTGGACTCAGTAATGGGGACAGAACCACCTGAGGGTGACGAGAGGAAATCAGCAGAGATCGTTAATGGATTGAAAGGAAATTGAAGGTGAGAGGAATTTTTATCCTTTACATACTTGCTAAGAAGTTTTAGAAACTCTGAAGCAGAGAGGTTTGGAAGCTGGGTGTGGTGGCACACGCATGTCATCCCAGCACTAGGGAAACTGAGGCAGCCTCCTGTGTGTTTGCTGTGAGCCTGCTATGAATTTGAGGCCAGCCTGGGCCACATAGTGAGTTCAAGGCATGCCTGGACTGCCTAGCGGGACCCTGTCTCAAAAGAACAACTAATCAACCAACCAAAAACAGGTTTGAAGGGGGTGAAGCTGAGTGAGGGAGAGAGATTGTTTCAGCTCATCCACACAATGGCACTAACACTCTCAGTCCATAGCCAGTTTGATTTCTCCCCGCTAAGCATTCCGGTTATAAAAATCAAGGCAGATCACATTCCTGCTTGTTGGAGCTCACAATAAGCTGGGAGAGAGAAATCATCATGAAAGGCGAAACACCCAATAGGGCCAGCGCTACACAAGATCGGAACTTAAAATAAGATAAAAAGCACTGCGGGGAATTCTGGCACACAGGTGAGCTTGAGGCTGGCAGTGGCCTCTGGCTGGTGGCTGCCTTTTATTCCTATGTGGTCACGGCTTCAGTAGCATTCATTAGAATTGGTAAGCATGGGCAGAAAATACCCTGGAATGTAACGCGAGAAAGTCACGCCATATGGATGGCCCCCTACAGCAGGGCCCCCGCAGCCCAGCAGGTAGACAGTGCCTGACCCAGTAATTCAAAAAGCACAGGGGAATGTGAAATATGGCTCTTTTCAGTTATCTAGGTTTTCCCATTTTCACCAACGTGTGGAATAATGAACAGACATATTTAGAATAAAGTGAGCTTCCTCAAAGAATAAATGGCGACCCCAGTGCAGAATGAACGTCCGGCTTTGCGTGTAGGATTTTGTGCCGGGACTGGAGAGGGCTTTCTGCTGTGTGTCCCAATGATGGGACAGTGGGATGCGCGAGCACAGGTGCCATCATCCTTGCTGGTTCCATGCCATTCCTGAGCCCTTCTGATGTTCCAGCGTGTGCTGGCCGGCTGTGCCCTCTTGTGAAACATGGCTCGCCTCCTGGGTCACTTAGTTTGGGAGCTGTGTAGCACTGTCACAGTTATTGTGTCTTTACAATACAGTTGTGACATGGAAGTAGATTTCATTTCACAGACGAGGAAACTGAGGCTCAACGGGGTGAAGTTCTCGCCCAGTTTTGAAAGAATATTTTATGCAGATTCCCGGGGCCCAGAACATGGTTCATCTTCACAAATCCCGGTGCATGAAAGAATGCGTGGTCCAAGAATGTGTGGTGAATGAGTGCGAGAGCTGAGGCTCCAACACAGGTTGGCTCAAGTCCAGTAGCCCAAATACAGCCTTCCTGACGGGGAAGGGAAGCGGCGTCCAAGAATCAGAGCAGAGGGGAAAAGCGGTAGAGAAGAGAGACCCTGAAGATGAGTTGTAGGAAAGGCTCCGAGCTTCGGGGAGGAAACAGGGTTTCAGATGGAGACAGTGAGGTAGGCAGCTTGTGGTCACGTTAAGCTCCGAGAACTCGCTGTGCGCTCCTGACCCTGTCAGTAGCCTTTCTGAGCCTCTTACAAAAAGCAATGACTAATCCTCATCCCTGGAGTTTACATAGCACCTACATAAGGGAACTTGGTTTTAGTCCCTGCCCTCATCATTTGGTAGTTTTTACTCTAGTAAGGGGTTGAGAGGGTTAGCACAGTGGGAAGAGCCCCAGCTCATCTGGTGTGGAGTCAGAGGTCTGGATTCACATCCTGGTGCTGCCATGTGCTGGCTGTGTGACTGAGAAAATTGCTTAAGTACTCTGAGTGGCTGTTTGTTCATCTGATAAAAATGCGAGGCTGTGAACACAGACCTATAAAAGTCACTGTGGGGATCAAGAAAATAGTAGATATTCCTGCAATTTATTTATTTATTAGGAAGGGTATTTATGCTATAGGTAAAGGCAGTTTCCACTAAGGTTACTGTGAATGATACCTTGAGATGCAAGTGTTAGAGGCTAGTCAGAAAAGCCTCTTTTATTAATCACTTTCCCACCACTGGCACAAAAGACTGGACATCTGTAACTTAAAAGAGGAGAGGTTTATTTGGCTCATGGCTCCAGTGGGTTCAGTCCATGGTCTGTAGCTCCAAGGAGGAAACAGCAAGGTGGAGGGGTATGGTGGAGGACAGCTGCTCATCCATGGTGGCCAGGAGCAGAGAGAGAAGGAAGGAGCCAGGGACAAGAATGCACCCCTCCAGATTACATCCCTAACAGCCACCTCTGACCAGGCTCCACCTCCTGACAGCACATTCATCACGAATACATCCATGGATGAATCCACTGATGAGCATAGCACCCATGATCCAATCACCTTCCAAACACATGAAGTTTGGGGACATTTTAAATCTAAACCATAACATCTTTTTTCTCCCTTGTTTTTCTGTAGGCAGCTCTTCATTTGCTAGCAAACCTACCACACCAACTGGCCTGGGTGGAGGATTCCCACCTCTCAGCTCACCACAGAAAGCATCTCCCCAGCCCATGGGCAGCGGGTGGCAGCAAGGGGGTGGCTACAGCTGGCAGCAGTCACAGTCTAAGCTGCAGCCCAGCATGCCACACTCCTCGCCCCAGAACCGGCCCAACTACAACGTGAGCTTCTCCTCCGTGCCCGGGAGCCAGAGCGAACGTGGGAAAGGACCCACTAATTTGGGTAAGGATGATGAGGTGGGGCCTATCCATGTGGCAACCTGCCTGTCTTGTCAGCTGCCTGGGTGTGTGGGTCTGAAGGGGACAGAAAAGAACTCCAGTGGTTTCCAAGGCAACCTTGTGATTGTGGAGGTGGTGAGACCCCTCCTCTCAGTGCTGTGCTCCTAGCACCTTAGGTATACTGTGCCCAGACATGTTGCATTAGTTAAGATTTTCTAGAGGAACAGAATCCACAGAGAAGAGATGTGTAATTGTCCCAGGGGATTTATCAGGTAGCTCACAGGATCAGAGGCGGGAGAGTCCACACTGGCCACCTGTGCTCTGGAGAAGCGGAGGATCCAGCAGCAGCTCAGCTCAAGATGGAAGCCACAGAACAAGAGGGGTCAAGAACACAGGATCTGCCCAAGGCCGAAGGCCTGGAGGCTCCCTGGAGAGTTGCCAGCGACTGAAGAAACTGGAGACTGATGTCCAAAGACAAGTGTGCAGACTGGAGCACTTTAGAAATGGGGACACTTCTTTCCCTTTTTATTCCACCCTGGCTAGAAGCCTGTTGGTTGGTGCCACCCACATCCGGGGTGGGGCTCCCCCTTCCATTTGCTGGCCTGGATGTTGATCATCCACACACACGGAACTGTGCTCCTCTGATCTGCTGGGCGGTCTTAATCCATTCAAGTTGATGATTGCGATGAACACATGTGCACCATTTTGTCATTGCTGGTTTACTTGTCTGTCTCTTTCCCGAGTAGAATGTCATGGAAGGCAGGGACTGTTTTGTTTGTCCCATTATAATCAGAAACAAGTGCTTGGCATATAGTAGGCAGTGATTCTAGGGGAGTGGTGGCTGAATCTTAAAAGCTGTTACTCTTTTGGGAGAGGGCATGGGAGGAAAATGTTGGGTCCCTTTCTGGAACTGGGTTTGGATTTTCCCATGGGCCCCAACGAGAGGGGTGCGTGTGTGTCCTGGTTATTAAGTCTCTTTATGATCAGACCTGACAATGAAATATGTGGGAGCAGGGTGAAGGGACAAGCCTCTCTCTCTGTGGAAAGGCAACTCTTCACTCTGCTATGTAGCGGCTGATGCTGGCTGGGTGTCATATTGAGCGCTACATGCCAGTTGCTGTCCTAGGCATTTTTCACGTTATATAGTTTTTTCATATTATTTTATACAGTCTTTAAAACCAACTCCCTATTGTATGAAGAATCTGTGTTACAGGCCAATGGATTAATTTCTTAAGTTTACACAACTTGTTAGTTCTGGAGCCAGGATTTAACTCCTAACTACCTGGCTGCAGACCCCTGCTGAGCACTGTGGCACTGTGTCCTGTGATACAGGTGCCTCTTCACAGCCCTAATGTGATGGCCATGCTGGACATGGATAGTAGCCTGCCCCAGGCCACACCGCTAACAAGTGGCAGAGCTGGAACTCAGCCCTGTGGGGTTCGGCTCCAGTCTTCGCTCCCTGCCACCATGCTAGGGTGTCTCTCCGAACAGACCCATGAAGATTGCGAGGCCATAGCTGGACTTGTAGGGAAAGAGCACTAGGATCAGCTCACACTGCCAGCTGGCGTGGGTAGGGAGGACATAGCCTGCACACATTTCAAGCCTGCATCCCATCCCTGGCTCTAATTAGTTATGATGGAGAAGTCACAAGTATCTACATCTAAAAGAAGGTATGGGGAAATGGGGCTGGATTTAATTTAATGATCCAGACTCCAGGCTTAACCTTGCCATGCACATGAACTGGACAGGTCTCTTAAGTTCTCTGGACTTCATTTTCCCTGACTAAAATGGGCATGAGAATTGTTTATCTTATAGCATAAGTGTGAAGGTTAAGGGGATTAATGTTCATAAAGTACTTTGAAGACTCTCAGCCCTGTGAGACCATGTTTGTGATGTTCTATTTAAAAATAAAAACTACAGTGACTTTCAAAAATTATGTTGCAGAAGGGAAACAAAAAGCAGCTGACTTTGAAGACCTCCTTTCTAGTCAGGGCTTCAATGCTCACAAAGACAAGAAGGGACCTCGAACAATAGCAGAGATGAGAAAGGAGGAGATGGCCAAGGAAATGGATCCGGAAAAGTTGAAGGTGAGTGAGCCCCTAGCTCAGTGGGAAATGCTACAGGACAGGTCATGGGACAGTCGTATGTGGAGCTATCACTCGGTGGGGATGAGGAGGTGGAATGCAGCTTCAGTGCTTCACCACAGGAGAGCATTTCAGGAGGCGCTGGCCTGAGCCTGAGGCAGACTGATCAGGCAGAGTTGGAAAGTAGTAGGAAACAGGGAAGGGGCTGCAGTGAGAAGCTGAAGAGCACATGGCTGTGAAGGAGTACACGGGCTGGGGAATGAGGGAAGGAGACCAGCCTTTATGGATTAGCTGTGGTGGGTGAGAATCTGGCTAGCCCTCACCTCGGTTCTGGCTTTGCAAGGTGGCTCGGGGAGAAGTCCTTGTACCCGGGGGCTACCCGAGCTCCATGGGACAACTGCTCTACTTGGGGAGTCCTGTCCCAGAGGCTCTGGTGTAACCCAAGGTCACCGCTGGCTTAGGGCAATGGCCAGAGGCTCTGGGCTCTCATGGACACGTGAATGCCCCTGTAAATCTCTTCTCTTGGTGTCCTCAGTCTTGCAGGGAGATGGCATAGGTTCATTCAGAGCTCAGCAGCCTTGTTTTGCCAACTTTCAGACCCGTACCTCCTCTCTGCGGAGCTGAGTGGGTGTCTGGCCCAGTGTTTACAGATGATAAAGGAGACAGACCCAGAATGAAGGTCAGGCTTTGTTCTGCTTCTAGTTCCCAATTGAGCATCTGTAGGGCAGAGTGAAGAGTCACCATTCTTGAGCAGAAAAAGCCCTCAGGTCCCTGACTGCCTCCGAAGAAGTCAGAAATCATGCTCTCCATGAGCGTCAGGTGCAGGGCCAGGAGTTTGTCCCTGTTCCTTTGGTGACCTCTTTGGTGGCACAAGGCTAGCCTGATGTCTACTCAGCTCCCCAAGGCCCTCCCTCCTAGTTTCATCAGCTGGGGATTAGGGTCTCAACAAATCAACTTGAGGGGGACACAGGCCTTCCGACCACAGCTCATGTGGAAGGGGCCATGCTCTGGCAGCTGCCATATTTAGTGGGTCCCTGGCTCTGTAATGTGAGCACAGCTATGCCCCTTCATTGTGGAGTAGCTTTGGAAGAGTTGCACATGCTGGTGAATTGAATTTCTTTAACATGGTAAATTTTGGCCCATGGTTTGGTAATACTGTATAGAATTTCTTTGTTTCCCTGGCACTCTTTAAGATGTGATTTGTTATTCAGATTCTGAGGATGAATCCTTAGAACTTGGTGGGGAGAAGAATGCATTGTTTGTATCCTTCTGCCTTGAAAGCTTTGTATTAGACTGTGTTGACAGCAGCCCCAGGATCTGTTCTGTGTGGATAGAGAGAGACACATTCCTGTGCCCCGGATCACACTCCTAACCCAGAGCCGGAGGTTACTGGGTGGGGAGGAGCCTGTGGGGAGTGTGTTCTCGGCCACCTCCCTTGCCTCTTTCAGCTTTTAAGTCAAAGCAGTTCTATTTTCATCTGTTTTTGACTCTGAAAGTCTAGGTGAGTTTCGGTTTGGGGAAAAGAAGAATGCTTTTTTTTTTTTTGGTACTGGAGGTCAAACTCAGGACCTTGCGCTTATGAGGCAGGCTTGGCTCCACTGAGCTAAATCCCTGGCCCTGCTTTTACATTTTTAAAAAGAAGTTTGCACCCTTATTTCCTAGATAAGGACACTGCGTGGCTAGGCAGATGCAGAGTACTTGGAGGTAGAAGGCAGTTACGCTGATGAATGGTGTAGGGCTGTGGAAGCATGGGAACGCTCTTCACAGATGTTGAGGTTGCATTGCTGTGTGCTGACTCGAAATAGGCTGACAGTGTCAGAAACGTAACCTGTCCCTGTATTAACGCATCTCTCAAACCAGGACTTCGAAGCAAATCAGTCTTGTACGTGTTGAGAAAAAATACCACTGCTCTTCTCCTTCACTTCCTGACAGATTTGATAGTGCCTGTAGATATGTATATTCTTTAATATTAAAAAAATATCACGGAGGGTCTTTCATTTGCATTTGCTTCTCACAGGACATAACATCACAGAGGCTGAACGTTTACTCCTTCCGAACACTTCCTGATGTGTCCCTATAACCTTTGTTCATTAGGCAAAATCTGACAGGTCTCCATAAGAGAAAGTTGTTTTTTAAAAAAAATCATGCTTGGTTATTTGATCGGTACAGGATATTTAATGTGGAAGAGAGCAGCACAATCAACTGCGACTGAACTGTTCCCTATCCAACGGCAGATGCTAGCAGAACTCCTCTTGGGGCTAAAAAAAATGTCAGGACTCCCCAAGCAGAGCAGTTGTCCCATGGAGCTCGGGTAGCCCCCGGGTACAAGGACTTCTCCCTGAGCCACCTTGCAAAGCCAGAACCAAGGTGAGGGCCAGCCAGATTCTCACCCACCACAGCTAATCCATAAAGGCTGGATTTTTTTTGTGTGTGTGATTCTTTGAACTTAGTCACCTCATTTGTTCAAACCATGGAGATTCAAACTATGAATGTTCATAATTTGAATGTATGACTGAGTGTATCAATTCGCTCAACAGCTGTTTTGAGCTCTGCTCTGTGCTAGATGCCTTGTTTGGGTGCTGACATAGACCAGCATCATTACCGGGTGGAGGTTTTCTTGGGGCTTCTTTCCTGGTTCTTAGTGTCCTGAAGAAAGAGTTGGACAAGACGCATGGAGGAGGCAGTGAAAGTGCACATTTCTGAAGGCAGAAAAGAAGTTCACTCTGCAGAGCGAGAGCAGCCAGTGCAGATGCTCACAGTGGCCCTCACAGAGTACGGGGGAGAGGGCTCTTTATACCCACAATTCCCAGGTTCTGTCTTCCCCTTAAGCAAAGCTTCTCAGAAGTTGTCCTATCAAACGCTCACTTGGCCTCATACCGTGTACAAACTGTCCTATCAAAAAACTCATTCGGGGGCTGGGGATTTAGCTCAGTGGTTCCACCGCCTGCCTCGCAAGCACAAAGTCCTGAGTTTGATCCCTAGTACAAAAAAACAAACACAAAAAACTCTTTTGGCTTCTTGTTACATGTAAATGAAGGATCAGAAACAGTGTCTTCTGATAGGTTGTGCTCAGATGCAAATGAACAATCAAAAAGAACACCTTCGGATTGGTCCTCTGAACAGCACTGGGCTCAGATGAAGGACTGGAAGTAGCAAGTTTCTGATTGGTCCACAATAGCACTTTTCCGATTGGCCCTGTGTACAGAGGTGGAGCCATCACTGTATTGGGAGTGTCCTTCACCTGGAAGTGCCCTCACCTCAGTGCTTTGTCTCAGTACCTTTCCTCAAACAGCTCTGCCTCAAACAGACGTGCACATGCTAATGTCTAATGTCGCAGTGTGTGACCATGGGCAGCGTAGAGGATGAATGATTACTCGGAGACAAGACTCAGTTCAGTCATTGAGAGGCCCAGAGGGGCTATTTCAACAGAGAGTGTCCAGCATTAGGGAGACTCCCTGGAGAAAAAGGCCCTGAAGCTGAGAACTCTCTGGCTTTTATTTAGAGTATCAGCATAAGAGAAAAAAGCAGGAGAAAAGCAGTTTGGGCAAGGAGCTGTCTCAAGGCTAGGCAGTTTGTCTTGGGGAAAGGGAAGGGCAATGGTCAGACACAACTTGCTTCACTAGTCTAAACTTCTTCTTGTCAGTTTATCCATTCACTCCTCACAGAGCCCGTGTGCTTTTCTCCTGCAGTTTAACCATTCACCCCTTGTCAGGTCCCCCAAACAATGACATGAAGGTGTGGCCCTTACCATGACAGAGCCTTACGTTGGAGCAGCCACAGCAAGCTGAGCCTTTTTAAAGAGGATATCTGTTCAGTTCAGGGAGCAAAACAGGTGCATCTGTGACCTCATGGAGTTTATTCTTTGGAGCATATTATGAACTGTAGGGACCAAAGAAGAAGGGACTCAGGCTCCCAGGGAGAACTGTGTGACTCCTGAGCAGGCTTGTGATGGGTGATGAAGATCAGAAAGAGGGCAGGCGGTGAAGGTGCACAGCACTCCAGGTAGAGCAACAGTGGGGAGGCAGCAGGGTAGCCCCACATCTGGCACCACTGGAGCAGGATGAGTTCCCAGAGTCCTGGTAGACCCCTCTGGAGCAGAAAGCATTTCCACTTCTTAATCCCCTCCTCCTTTCTAGATCCTGGAATGGATAGAAGGTAAGGAGAGGAATATCAGAGCCCTTCTCTCCACGATGCACACAGTGCTGTGGGCCGGGGAGACAAAGTGGAAACCCGTGGGCATGGCGGATCTGGTGACACCAGAGCAGGTGAAGAAGGTGTATCGGAAGGCCGTGCTGGTGGTGCACCCGGACAAGGTGAGCATGGCCTCTGCTGCCCAGCCCTGCCCTGCTCCTCATGCATTATTTTATTTTATTTTTTTGTTTCTTGATCCACAGTCTCCCTATGTAATGCAGGCTGGCCCTGAACTCACTATGTAGCCCAGACTGGTCTTAAACTTGCAGCGATCCTCCTGCCTCAGCCTTTTGAGTGCTGGGATTACAGGTGTGCTCCACCACCAGCTCTCTTTGTTATTTTATGAATGTGTACTAAAACATTACAGTTTGCATTTGCTGGCTTATTAGGTCATTTATTAAAACTAAGTCTGTGGGTTAAAATCAAGTATGTAAACAAATACACTTCATGAAGTGGGCAAAAAGAAACCAAGCTGTATACCACCAAGAATGGGAGGGGAACTTCATTTGCAGAAGTGTAACATCCACTAATATAGGAGAGCCTGACTCCTTTTTAGGGTTCCGATGTAATCCTGACCTACAAGAGTAAGATGGGGCTGAGAGCTACACAAAGGAAAACTTTCCCCTTGGAAGATCCAACAGTACCTTTAGCCAGGTTTGTAGCATAAAAGCTTTAGAATGTAGTTGACAAAATTGGTGGTCATCAACAAAAATTTTAAAAAGAAAACTAAACCCATGATTACTTTGATTGTGTCAGCTTACGTTTTCATCAATGTATATATGCACATAAGTGCATGACATTGTTGAAACTTCCTTTACCCCACGGCCTAGTTGAAATCATCATAATTCATAATGTGTTGTAGCCAGAAGCAAGTCCTGATGTCACATGAACTGGCCCAGTCATGTGATGTGAAGTGACAATGGAAGGACCTCTTGCTAACACTCTTGGATTTCATGTATTTGATTTCCATCTCTCCACATTTTTTAAGTGACAACTTTGAATAGAAGATTTAATGAGAAACAACTTTCTCAAATTTTGATCACTTGGAAGAGAAACAGGAACCCAGAAAAATCCACCAACTGTATGTCCCTGTTATGACTCTCAAAGAGCTTATCTTTTTCTAGAAATTGGAAAATGGATGTTTAAAAATATAATCAATGGGAGATGGGCTGTCAGTAGGCTTTGTTTTTTGGTAGAAACTTTGAGGGATGGAGATGATCTTTGGGACCCAGTAAGCTCTCTGCTGTCCACTTACTGATGGAGTACTATCATCCTATTGCATTTCCAGGTGGATGGCATTAGAGGGAGGCCAAAGTAATTAAATCACATAGACTATGCCAGGGGTGGCAAACCTAGGGCACATGTGCTGTGTGGGCTGTTTGTTATTGAAAGTTCTAAAAGGTTCTCCATCCCTGGACTAGACTATAAAAAAAGAAATATCTTGACAGAAATGCCTTTGAATTACTTAGAACCCACATTAGCAGTGAATTTAATATGAATACAGATTTGGCCTGTGAGATCTAATGTGTGTTTCCGTTTTCTCCTCTAGGCGACCGGGCAACCCTATGAACAATATGCAAAGATGATTTTTATGGAGCTCAATGATGCCTGGTCTGAATTTGAAAACCAAGGACAAAAGCCCTTGTATTAACGTGTGAGCTTTTCTATCTCAGCTGCAGACCTGTGCTAATGCTTAGTATGTATCACAATTCCGAGGTTTTCACAGACGAACCAAAAACTCCAGTAATGTAGTTCCAGTACTAAACTGTTAAGTTACTCATGGATTAATTTCTCATGGTAAGGAGTGTGGATGTTTGGTTTCTTGAGGTTCCTTCCAGCCATAAAAGAGCCAAAGTGTGAGAGGAACTTTTGCAGAGTGACCTTGCAGAGGCCAAGATTCCCGCCTGCCCTCTGGGGAGCCTGCCCAGCGTGTTACCTGCAGGAGATGGAAAATTGAGGCCACCAAAGATGAAGGGGAGTCACCCATCTCATTGTTGGTGAATGACGTTAAGGAGCCCAAGTCCTGATAATACGACTGTCTGATGGTTTTAAAGGATGGGTTTTCATTTTCCTTGGTAAGATATAATTTGAGCGAAGGCTTTGCACAGATCCTAGGAACACAACCACCAAGTATTTTTTTTAATCCCTATGGCCTGTACCACAATACTGTATATGTTTCTTGGTCAAGAGCACCAGTGAGCGAAACTGGAGTGTCAGGAGGGATTAGGCTGCCACCAGTTCTTCCCGGATAAACTGTCCCTTAGTGCAGATGCTGGCTGAGAACATAGGAACTCCGAAGTGTAGAAATTACTTGTGGGCAAGATGTTGGGCTGCTGCCTTCCTTTCCCCTTAGAAAACTGTGGTTGAGGAAAGAAGAAGTCTTACTACCAGAACAACTTCAAACCCAATTTGAATGACACTTCGAATTTTGCCATAACGCTTAATGCTCTTTTGCTTTGCCAAGAAAATGCCCTTAGCTGGGAGTAGGTTGCAGAAGCAGGGGGCCCAGTTGCAATGCATCAGGACCCAAGGCTGGTGCAGACTTGGTGTTCTGTAGGTTTAATGAGCAGCTGTGGCACAAGGCGATGGAGAGCTGCTCAGAAGGGGTTGTGCCCGGGCGCGCTGCCCACCTTCGGATGGACTCAGTGGCTCTGTCAGTATTTGCTTTAAGGGACCAGGTCCCCCTGCCCCTGTGAATTTGCACCCCTGGATTTTTGCAGTGGGCTTTACTGTTTTAAAGGGAGTTGGAGGCCCACATGAATGACATTTACACAGGGACCTTTGTGAAAGCGAAGTAAGCATGAAACTTTTCCAGACCTCAGCCTGGTTGGATTTTAGTTCCATGTTTTGGCTGGTTCTCATTTCGAGAAAAGCAGTTCATTCTTCCATAGTCGATCTGTTAGTGAGCACATGCTCAGTGTGGATAATATATATTATATATTATATATATGCACAGAGCAGATGGGCAGGAGATTTTCATGCTGATCTTTAAAGGTTCATACTCAATTTGTGAAAAGCTTTCAAAAGTTGTTTTTAAAAGACAATCACTTTTTGTTTGCTTTAATTTTCTTGCAGCAAATTGTAGAAAAGGCGGCATGTCAAAAATATTTTAGGTTCTATATAGAGATCTCTTTCTTTTTTTTTGGCTACAAAGGTTCATTATTTATTTTATATTTTACTGACAATGTGAAAGTTGCAGAAAATGTTCTCTTTTTAAATATACAGCCGAAACTGTTCAAGGTAACCAGAACAAACTAGGTGTTATTTATTAACGTATTATAAAATAATGTTTGACTCAGTGTGTGCTTGTCTTATTTAAAACTGGAATGTGAGACATGTGGCTGTGACCCATTGTTTCTTTTCCCATTCCCATTTGTAGATACCGTGTGAACTACAGTATATAATGATAATTAAAAGGCACTACGTGGATGTCATGTACATTTTGAAACAATAGATCTCTATTAGCTTCGTATCATGTTTGAATAATTCATTAATGTTCACAATTTAAAAAAGCATTAAACCCTCTGTAATTAGCAATGAGAAAAAATCTTACTTAACTTAAATTTGGGGGTTTCCCTCTACTCTTTTCCAGATACATTGTCATTCTGGAACCTTATTTATCTTAAGACTCTTAACTTATGCAGGCCAACAGGTTTTTTTGCATTCCTTTTACTTACCTGGTTGTGACAGAACTTGGTGTTGATCAGATTCACTGTTTCATTCATATTTATTGTAATATATTTTTTGTTTTGTAAATATGTTATACACAACAAAATGTGATTGGTCTAAAATATTTGTAATGTATATTAAAAGGCTCAAAAATATTTTCAGGAACCTGTTATTTTTTGCACTTGTAGGAACACAGAGACAAATCTGAATTCTGAGATGATTCACCTGCAAGGCAAGTTTTGGGGGAAGAATATGAAAAGCATGTAATGTATTTGCACCAGAACGTAATCAGACAGGATTTCTGGGTTTATACTTAAGCACCCCTGACACACAACACACACATCTTTTTTTGTGGTTCCGGGGATTGAACTCATGTCCTTCGGGGGCGGAACCACTGAGCTTCACACATACATCTTGATCATGAGTATTATGGTTGAAAAAGAACCAGCACAGAATCCCATAGGTCTCTTACTGAACATGGATTTCCAAAAATGCTGAGGCAGAAGGACTGATCCTGGCGTCTGGGACTTTTTCAAAGGAAACCAAACTCTCCAATATTGTAGTTCTCTGAGGACAAGAGCAGCACATTCATTTGCAAACCTATGCTACGGAGGGAGCATTTGGACCTCCTCGGCACTGTGCACATCTGGAGGAGCACTCCGGTTGGTCCTGATGCCACTGAAGAAACCCCACCGAGGAGCAAGCACAGAAGCTGAATTCCGGAAAGTTACCACAGCAATGGGTCAGTTTCCAAGCTGGAAGGAAACACTCACCATGGAATGTAGGTCATGTGAACAGGTTTTGATTGTTCTAAAGATAAAAGTGGTGTTTGGGAGTACTAGTGTACAGTAAGGCACATTGTCATTAATTCCCCTCAGACTCCCCCTTGCTTCAAACACACCCATCCCACCATCCTAGCCGCTTCCTGCAGCAGCTCTGGAGGCCTCTCTCCTGAGGGTCTTTAGCTGCACTATCCTGGCTGCCTTGATGTCCCGAATTGATTCAAGACATTTTCCTTTCATGTTCATTTTGACTTTGGAGAAGAGCTGCAAGTCACACGATGCCAGATGTAGTGAATAAGATGGATGAGGACACAGCATCATGTTTTTATGAGAGCTTGGTAGCATTCACTATATTTTTGATCATGCCTCATACAGAGACAACTTCCAGAGCTACTGCAGAAAGTGGCAAGAAGGATGAGATGAGTGTTCAAAGTGAAGGGAGGATTTTGAGGGTGATTCATGCAGTGTGTCTTTTTTGTTGTTGTTGTTATTAAATTCTTTTATTGGTACATTGTAGGTATACAACACAATTACATTTCTCATTGGGAATTGTACCTTTATATAATGCATCTTGGTTCTTATTTTTTCCCCATTCCTAGCCCTCCCTTCATGCCCTCCACCCTTCCCTATTTACAAAGACTTTATTTCCATTTTTTCCATTTCTCATCATTTTTTCCTTTCCCTTCTTTCCTTTCCCCTGCGCCTCCCACTACCCCTACCCCTTTGGACCTTTTATTCCTATTTAACATTATCGATTATTCATTCTAATCATTGGTACATTTTAGGTATACAATATAATGACATTCATCATTGGAAATTTGCACCTTTACATAGTCTCTCTTGGTTCTTGTTTTTCACCCTTGCCCAGCCCTCCCTTCAACCCCTCCAGTCCTCCCTATTTACAAAGATTTTGTTCCTATTTTTCCATTTTCTCATATTAATCCCATTCCCTTCTATCCTTTCCCTTAGCCCTCCCACTTCCTTCCCCTTTGCCCCTTTTCTTCCTATTTCACATGACCTATTATACATTTAGTCCTTATTTACACTTTCAGTTTCTCACACCAGAGAAACTATTCGGTATTTACACATCTGTGTCCTATTTATTTCACTTAAGAGTATCGCCTCAATGTGCATCCACTTAGCTATAAATGTCTCTAATTTCTCATTTTTGATGGCTGAGTAGTACTCCATTTTATAAAAAACCCACATTTTCTTTATCCAGTCTCCAGTTGATGGGCATTTGGGCTGTTTCCAAGTTTTAGCTATTACAAACTGTGCTGCTATGAACATGGGTGCATATATCACTGTGGTATGACTCTTTTAATTCTTTGGGGAAGATCCCCAGCAGTGGAATAGCGGGGTCAAATGGGACTTCCAGTCCTAGTTCTTTGAGGTATCTCCATACTGATTTCCACAGTGCTTGCACCAGTCTACACTACCACTAGCAGTGGAGCAGGGTTCCTCTTTCCCCATAGCCCCGCCAGCATTTGTTATTGGTTGATTTCATGATAGCAGCCATTCTTTCTGGAGTGAAGTGGAATCTCAGCGTTGTTTTCATTTGCATCTCTCGAATGACCAGTGATGTTGAACATTTTTTCATGTATTTATTTGCTATTTCTACTTCTTTGTGTGAGAAATGTCTGTTCATTTCAGATGCCCATTTTTGGATTGGGTCTTTAAATTTGGGAGGTCTGATCTTTTTAAGTTCTTTATAGATTCGAGATAGTAGACCTTTGTCTGAGGAAGAGCAGGTGAAGATTTTTTCCCACATTGTGGATTGTCTCTTCATGCAGCGTGTCTTTTACTGTAATACTTTTTTTAAACAGTTTAAACATTTACCATATGTTCTGATCACCCCTTGTACGTTGCTTTGAGACTAAAAGACTGGGTTTGAATCTTGAATTTTCCAATTATAGACTGTTAGATTGGACAAGTTTCTTAAACTCTCAGTCTCGAGACTGTGTGTGCAAATTCTTGTCGGGTGGACATTCACTACACAGTGACTGTTGTTAGACACTGACTGATACGTTTTATCACTGCAGGTGGGTTCTGGGGCTGGAATTGCAAGGACCGGCAGGTGCAGGGATGGACACAGGAACTGGGGAGGGGGCCGAAAGTGACTCGCTGACAGTTCCGTGTGCATGACGTGGCAGGGGCTTGCACCTGCGCAGCTGGGACAGCCACGGCTGTGCAGATCAAGTGCTGGGCCAGAGTTCAGAAGGAAACCCAACCCTTCTGTTTTCAGTTAGTGTTGGATCCTAAATGCATTTCATTTCTGCAGCACCTGAGAGTCTGCCGCAGTACAGATGTGACATGTGGCATCTGTCTTGCTGCCACTGCTCGACATGTGTGTGTGTGTGTGTGTGTGTGTGTGCACTTTCTCATTTAATTCACAAAAAATTCTGGAAGGCAGGATTTGTAAGAATTTCATTCCCCAGGAGACGTGGCACGAGAGAGGGAAGCACCGCTTTCCGGGTGTGCAATCTGGCAAAGGCCAAGCAGCCGTGAGCCTCCGGGGCGGGCAGTCTGCAGGCAAACGCGGGGTTTCGGATTCCAGGCCTGACCCGGGCGGGCGTTCCTGTCCTCCGGCTTCACTGCGGGTCTCAGGCGGGCCCAGCGGTGCCGCAGATCGCAGGTTCCCGAGTCCGGATGGCCCGGCCGAGCAGGCCCGAGGCCCGGGAGACGTCGTTGGAGCCGCGCGGGGAGGCTCAGGGCAGGTTCGGGCTGCCGAGCGTGTCGGCCCGGTGCTCCGGCGGAGTCGCCGTCCCGGCAGGTGGCTTCTCCCGGCTCGCTTCGCTTCCGGCGCCCTCGGAGCGGTGAGCGCGAGTCCAGCCCGCCCTCGCCCACGGACTACACGCTTCCCCGCGGGAGGCGCGAGCTCCACAGCAGCGCGCAGCGAACGCCACGCCACGGAGACGCCGGCGCGGGAGGAGCACTTGGGCTGGGGGCGGGCATGCGCGGGCGGACGGGGCGGGGCTACCGTGGCCTTCCCGGTACCCCGGTAGGTCCGGGGCGGGGCTCTGAGAACGGGGCAGGGTTAGTGCAGCAGGGGCGGGGCTTTACGGGCGGGGGAGGGGTTGTAGGCTGGCGGGGGCGGGACTCGGATCCAGTGGCGGGGTTATGGGTGCGGGGGCGGAGCTCTGCGAGCCAGGGGCGGGGTTGTAGGCCGGTGGGTGGGCTCTGCGGGTCGGGGGCGGAGTTATGGGCTGTTGGGTGCGGCACGCTGTGGGCTGGGGACGGGCCGCAGGCTGGCGGGGGCGGGAGTCCGCGGGGCTGAGGCCCAGTCCCAGGAGTTGACTGGGACAGGGCTCTACGCCAGCAGGGGCGGGGCTCTGAGTGGCAGGGCTGAGGACCAGTAGGGCATGGGCAAAGCTCCGCGGGTTAGACGCCGTGGTGGTGGGGGGGCGGCAGGGTCCGCGTGGCGGAATGGCAGGTGGCAGGGACCAGGCTCCACAGAAAGGGGGCAGTGTTCTAGGCAGTAGGGGCGGGGTCAGCATGGAGGGGGCGGGATCAGGGCTGACAGGGGCGGGGCTGGGGAAACCGTGACGTATTTCTGAGTGGCAGGGGTCACGACCAGTAGGGCAGTACTCTGAGTATGGGGCGCAGGGCTGCAGGGTGTGTGTGTGTGGTGGGGGGGCGGTGCCAAGGCCCCGGGGGCGGTGCTCTGCACTGCGGAGGCGGGCCTCGGTGTACGAGGATCAGGATTGGCAGGGGCGGAGTTCTGGGAAACCGGGCTCCTTCTTTGCCGGCAGGGCGGGCTCTGAGTGGCGGAGGCGGGGGGGGGGGGGGGGTTGGGGGCAGGGCGGGCTCTGAGTGGCGGGGGCGGGGCTCAGCGGCAGGACGGGCGGGCCGAGCCAAGGGGAAGCCGGAAGCAGCCGCGGCCGTCAGGAGCCATGGCGGGTGTCAAAGGTACCTCTGCGCCCCGACGCCCGGCCCCTGACCCGGAGCGGCGGAGGACCGTGCCTGCTCCTCGGGCTCCTCCCCAGGCCCTGGCGTCCCGGACCCGCGGCAGAGCCTTCTCGGGACCCCGCGGGCCCGGAGCGTCGCCTCGTCCTGGTCCCGGCTTCCACCTCCCGCCCCAGCGCCGCCCACCCCGCACCTCCGCTTTGTCTGCAGCAGGCCAGGGCCAGGTGTCGGGAAGCCGAGTCCCAAAAGGCCGAGTGGGCTGTGGGCGGGTGTGGTGGAGGGCGCTCGGGAAGCCGAGTCCCAAAAGGCCGAGTGGGCTGTGGGCGGGTGTGGTGGAGGGCGCTGGCAGGACGTCCTCGAACTCAGCCCGGCCGGCTGGGCTCAGCGTCACTGCCGGGTCTGTGAATTCGGCAGGGGCTGCAGAGGCCCGGAACGACACGTCTGGGCCTTCCCGGTTCAGGGTGGAGCCCGGGAAGAGGCGATTGCGAGGCTGCCTGTAATTTGGGTTAAGAGCAGCATAACTTCTTGCTGGGCGGGAGTTCTTGAAGCTTGGCGTTTGTGCAGAGGTGGCCCCTCCGGAGTAATCGGCGTCTGCCGACAGCCGGTGTGGAGTAGGTGAGGCTGCACGGGCGTGTGTCTGATAGCAGCAGACACTTCTTATCCTCTCTGGGCATTTTCACTTTCAGTATCAGCTGAGTGAGCCTGGTTTACTTGGACAGTGTCCATCGTGTAAAACATCTGTGGAAGCCACTGCAGGAACCAGATGCCAGGGGTCTCGGTAGGACAGTGTGTAGTCACGACCCTGGACTACCACAGAGTTACAGTGTTGTGTGCAGTGTGTTACAACTTGAGACATAGGAAAAAGGAAACGGGGTTTGAAAGGGAAAACGACTAAGAGAAGGAAGCATTTTGCAGCTAGGTCAGCTTTTATTGAGGAGCTACTGTATGTGTGTTGGATACTGGGGGTAAATGATAGTGAGAGCTATGAGTTAACGTTGAGTGAGAGGTGGGAATCATTACACTGCTGGGTGTCATACTGACTTGGGGTGGGCAGTAATCCAAGGAGCCGTATCCTTCTAGGAAAGGGAAATTTAGACATGGATGCATACAGGGAGCACACGTATCATGTGAAGATGAGAGAGGACATTGGAGTGATACAGCAGCAGGAAGAACACCTGAGACCTGTTAGGAAGGGTGAGCAAGCTTGTTCTTGCAGCCTGCAGAGGGAGCCTGGCCTTGCCAAGACCTTGGTTTAGGAAGTCTCACCTGTAGGATGCTAAAAGACTGTTTCTGTTGTTCCTCGTCAGCAGTCAGTGGCACTTTGTGACCACAGCCCTGGGAAGCAGATAGAAATGGGCTTACTTCAGCCTGCTTGGGAGGAAGGGGACTGTTTCCACAGGAGAGGCAAGGCCTGAGTGCAGTGTAAAGGGACCCGTCTGGCTTCTCTTTCTAAGGGATCGGCGGAGGTGGGATGTGATCCCAGTGGAGAGAGTGCCATGCTATGGGGGGCCAGGGCAGGGAAGGGCAGCCGTGTTCTTGGAAGGAGCTTCGAGAGTGGGGAGGGCTAAAGCTGAGAGAGCAGTTCGGGGTCAGACTGTGAGCCTCGGGTGCCAGAACGGCTTGTCAGCTGTGCAAGCAGTCGCAAAGTGGGGACACCAGCCAGTGTGTGTCTCTGTCTGTGTTGGGGATGCATTGAAAGAGTCACAGTGGGCAGCAGGCAAGAGATGCTAAGGACCCTGCTTAGGCAGTGGCTGAGAGTTCAGGAGAAGAGAGTGGACTGAATGAAGTCGGATCCCGGGGCCACCTTCACTTGTGCTTTGCTGGAAGGTAGCCCGCAGCTGATGTCAGTCCTGTAAGACAGGACCCCAGGGAAGACTGCAGCACTGCTGAGAGGAGTGGGTAGGAGTGTGGCTCTGCCTTACACTGCAGTTTGAGGTCCTCGCTGGGTGTTGGCTGTGCAGGCAGAGAAGTCCTGATCAGGACCCACTGTGGGCTGGGCCCTTTACCAGGAGTTTGGGTTGGCAAATTCTCAGCAGCTGAAGTGGGGTTGGATTTTCGGTCAACTGCAAGATTGCAGAGGCTGCAGATCCTGAAAAGAATAAAAAAAGGGCTAAAAACTATCAGGCAGAAATATAGTCGTGATCTTTGAGAGGTGGGGTCAGGACAGAAAGAAGTACAGAGTTCTGAGCCAGCTCTCAGGGAAGAAGTGCTGTCGGTGGTCAGGCCCAGAGCAGGGAGCAGAGCCAGCGAGGAGAAGGTCCTCTAGTGAAATACTGTGTGAAAAGTTACTTTCTCCTCGCACGGAACAGTGGCCCATAACCACAGCGCTCGGGAAGCCGAGGCAGGAGCATTCTGAGTTGGAGGCCAGCCCAAGTACACAGAGACCCCCGTCTCACACTGAAAGGTGGATGCACTGAGTGTAAAAGGACACAAGTTAAAGTGGACAGCTCTTCTTTGTTCCCTAACATCCCTGTACTTCCAGGTGTTCTCTGAAAACATGGCATTTTCTCCTTAAGTCTCCTCTTAAAGTTAAAAAAAAAAAGCAGTGAGAAAGATCATTAGCTTAATCAGTGGGTGATTATGAGGATTATGGTATGGTATGGGTTTTTTCAGGAGAGAACCTGGATTGTGTAGTGTTTGGTACTTTTGATCCTTTTGATTTCTGCTTGTTACCAAAGAACATTGCAGAAAGTCAGCAGGTACCTGCACCAGTCAGTGTTTGCTGAGTGCCTGCTTCAGTCAAGCGCATCACAGATTTCACAGGAGGGAGGCTCCCTCTCCTGGAGTCGCACATGTTGCCCTGCTTGCCTCTGGTGGCAGATGGAGGGAGTCATACAGCAGGTAGGGTAAGGTGCTGCAGTTGCTCGAGTCTTTTCTCCAGTTTTGATTTTAAAGTGGTGGACAGAGCTAGGCACGGTGGTGCTCACGTGTAATCCCAGTACCCTGGAAGGCTGAAGCAGGAGGATGGCAAGGTTGAGCCCAGCCTGGGCAACTTAGCAACTTAGTGAGACTCTGTCTCAAAATAAAACAATTAAAAAAAAAGGCTGGGGATGCAGCTCAGTGCCAAGGGCTCAGTGCCACAAAAATCAACAGTGAGGTCACAGTCAGTTGTAATCAGACAGGCTGGCTTAGTCATCCATTTCTCGCAGGTGTGGAGGCTGGAAAGTCCGGGATCAGAGAGTCTGATGAGGGCCTGCTTCCGGGGTGGGCAGGTGGGGAGGTCCGACTGCAGAGGGGAGAGGGGAGAGAGAAGGGAACGAGGGAGGGCGCTCTTTCTCACCAGGGAACTGAGTGCACGTGGAGGTCTAAACCTACCCCTTCCCCAGAGCTGCCCCTAATGCTTCCCACGCAGTTAGGGCTTCAGTGCATGAGTCTGCAGGGTATGCAAGCGCAGTCTCTTAAATATGACATCAGTTAGTAAGATGCTACATGTGCTTTAATTTGGGACCTTTCATTCTCATCTAAGTAAAATTGTTTATTGAGGTATATTCATATGCTGTAAAAATTGATCTTTTTCATGTAAAATTCCAGTTTGTAGTATATTTACAAGGCTCTGTGACCGTCAGTGCCATCTAATCCCACGGAATCCGTCACCCTGTAGCCGCTTTGTTCCCATTAGTGGTCATCCCATTCCCTGCACCCCTCCAGCCTCGGGGAGCCCTGCTCCGGGACCCTCACCCTGTCATGTTCCACACAGCTCTGGTGGTGCTGTCCTTCAGTGGGGCGATCGGCCTGACCTTTCTAATGCTGGGATGTGCCCTGGAGGACTATGGGTAAGTCACTATGTCTTCTGTGTGTCTTCAGGTGTTAGAGAGCTGGCTCAGTCCAGCAGCACCAGTGGTAATCAGTGTGTTAGGAGGCTCGGATTAGGAATCCAGCCCCTCAGGGAAAACCTCTTTTTATTTTTTATTTTATTTTATTTTATTTTTTGGTACCGGGGATCGAACTCGGGTCTTTGCACTTGTGCAGCAGGTGGGGAAACCACTGAGCTAAATCTCCGGCCTGAAAATCTCTTTTTAAAATCAATATGTTCATTTCATTTTAAGCACTTGTTAAGCTTCTGCTATGGATCAGCTGGGGAGGGAAACCCGAGTGCTGTCCTCAGAGAAGCGGGAAACTGTGGTCGGAGTGACCAAGCACATCTGGGTCTCCTGGGGGAGTCACGAGGGCTGACTTGGTGGATCAGTAAGTTCCTCTGGCTGATGAGAGGGGATGGTCCACAGCTTCTTTATTTAACACCTTACAAAGGAGGAGTTGGAGGTGGGCACAGCGCGTCCACTGTACCTGTCATCCCAGAACTTCAGGGGGCTGAGGAAGGAGGATCACAAGTTCAGGGCCTGGCTGGGCAACTTAATGAGACCCTGTCTCAAAAGGGCTGAGGATCCTACTCAGTGGTAGAGTGCCCCTGGGTGCACTCTGTACACAACCACACACATGTGCGCGCGCGCGCGCGCACACACACACACACACACACACACACACACACACACACACACGATAGTTGGGCACCTATATAGCCAGTCCGTTAGGGCTCTGTGCCCTGCGCCGGAGGTTGGGTCTTACCCAGGCAGGGGGCCGAGGAAGTTCCCGAGGATGAGTTTGGCAGGTCGCGCTCTCGAGGCAGGGCCGTTGGAGCATGGAGGGGCACTGAGGCCTCATAGGGATCAAGCAAAACAGCCCGCCGGCCGGCCAGGGCAGAGTTCGGGTGACCGCCGGGTGTGGCGCCGGGCCCACTCAGAGCGAGTCGTCCCGACGTGGAAGTCCAGACCACCACCTTCGTTGACAGGTAAAAACGGTCGCGTGATGTGGACCCACGTGCTGGTCCGGAGCTCTCTCGGCCGGCCATGGCTTTACTCTAGCTTTGGAGATGGGATCATTGCTGACCTCGTCCCAAGCTGTGAGCCGGAGGCCCAGAGCGAGCCCTGTCCCAGACCGTCTGGAAGGAGGGATGGAGGCGGACTGGGGCGCGGGTTCCGTTTCCCGGCCGGAGGTTTGCATGATTCCACGACTGGCTCCACGTCTGCGCCGCGCCGTGGTCTGTCACACACCCGACTGGCCAAGGTGCCTAGAGGTTACTGTGTGTCTCACGACCACGACCCCCTGCCGCTCTGTGCTGAACACCGCGGCAGAGGGCGCAGAGGGCGCAGAGGGACGCGGACCTGGTGCTTCTAAAGCCGAACTCTGCTTTTTTTATTTTTTGGTACCGGGGATCGAACTCGGGTCCTTGCGCTTCCGCAGCAGGCGGCGAAACCACTGAGCTAAATCCCCGGCCTTAAAGCCGAACTCTTGTGTTTGGTCCCCGGCAGGCGTTTGCCGACTCGCGGGCTGCACACGTCCTGAGCACTGAGCAGTGTTGGCTTACTGTGTAGGTTTCGCTCTGCCGGGCCTTGGGCCGCTGTGAGTGCCGGCAGTGTGTCAGGCTGTCTTCGGAAAGCTTCCCTGGAGTTCAGGAAGAACGAGCCGCTCGTGGCTCGTGGCTGTGGCTGTGGCTGTGGCTGTGGCTGTGGGGGGTCAGCGACGGCCGCGCCTGTTCCGAGCCTCTTCCCTCTCCCAGGCCGGTTTCCGCCCTGGGAAAATGAGGGCCTTGACACGGACTCTCGGACTCTCGAAGAGGCCACGCAGCGGTGCTGTTGGCTGACTTTGGAAGCAGACGCAATCCGCCCAGCTCCGGCAGTCGGAGTCGGACCTCCTGGGGCCGCCCAGCTCCTCTGGAGGGAGGGGGAGCTCGCTTCTCGCTCTTCCGCCCCTCTGCGCCCCGGGGGTGCCGAGTAAGGAGTAACGGGGCTGCAAAGCCTTCTGTGCTTCCGCTTTTGTGGCGATTGTTCCTGGAAGCGAGGGACACTCGGTTGTTCCTCAAGGAGTGAAGCATGGTAAGTGTCCAGCTGATGGAGACAAGGATGATGACAGAGCAAACGCAGTTGGAGTCCAGATGACAGATTTTTTTTTTTCCATTGGGAATTGTACCTTTATATAATGCATCTTGGTTCTTATTTTTTCCCCATTCCTAGCCCTCCCTTTATGCCCTCCACCCTTCCCTATTTACAAAGACTTTATTTCCATTTTTTCCATTTCTCATCATTTTTTCCTTTCCCTTCTTTCCTTTC